GATCTGTGGAGGTGCGACTGCGCCCTGCGTGACGGGAGATGTCTCCCGTCAGAAGTGGCTAGTTTTTTGTGCATCCTATATTCATCCTGTGAGCGGTAGCGCAAAAAAGGATTACAGACGACACGAATGGTCTTTATCAGACCTCAACGAACATTATTACATTAACAATTACAGCTGTCCTGCACACCTATATCCCCTTGTCTCGAGGCTACAGTTAATTCTTAACTGTAGCCTCTGTTTACCCAACAGTAAAATGGGTATCTGGTTGTTAAACGATTTGGTGGGTCGTATTTCGGGGAACATGGGATTAAGGACCTGCCCAAAACGCTACGCGTGCTAGTGGCTGTACAAGAATATAAGAACTCTTGTATATATATAAATAAATAAATAAATAAATAAATAAATAAATAAAAATTACAGAGATTGTTCCATATCAATAGCTATGTATTTACAATTAATCATTATACATTAATAGTAGGTCTTTTCGCTAATACATAACTATTTGAGCAATGGATGTATTACAGGGTCGTAGGAAAGCTGGTGTTTATTATTAATAGTCTTTGCACTACACTGTTCCTTAATCTCATGTCATTTATCTACTAGAAGCGAGACATGGATACAGTGCAAGGATTTCAAATATTTGACCCTTAGTAATAAGATGGTTTGCCATTTCACGCAGCGTGAGTTTAGATTTATCTCTAAATGGCTCAATTTTATCACAGTCTAAGATGTTATGCTCTAATAAATGTCCCAGTCCTTGTCTACGCACTTTACATCATCCAGATCCCTATACAAACCTAAGTGCTAAAGAAACTTGAAGCCACGTCTTATTCGAGCTGTGACGTCTGTTAGTCTGTTGATTTTGTTACTTGCACCATACACATATTTTGTTTGACACATTTTATTGTAATGAACAATGGACCTACACATTCAGAGTTTACTTACTTCCTGAACATAGTTCAGGACTAAAGTATACTTGCTGGTTCGTCAGTAAGCAATTGTGGTGGACTTAATAACCCTCCATAGGTTGATAGGCCTTAAGTCCAATACCAAACCAATACCATGACTTCAAAAGACCTTAATACTGTGCCTCACTAAAGGCTAATTAGAAAAAGGAAGCTCATTGCATTTATTAGTGGGACGGAGGGCAGGTAGGGGGTTATCTCAGGCTGAATTAGACCATGGTTATTTTAAAGGAAACACAGGGCAATCATACGTTAAATGGAGTCAAATCCGACTGAGGAACATTGCTTTGTCCCAGGGCTCTGTCCGGGTACCTCTGTTATTTACCTTATATATATAAATGATTTAGGCAGCTCAATATAGCAATTCGCCGATGACACAAAAATAGTGGACAATAAATTTAAACTAAAATTGGCTACAAGACAACTTATTTAAAATATATATGAATGCATTTTGTTGGAAATATATGGACACTGCCTCACAGGAATAATAGGCCATCTGCAATTTTCTATATTCTTATATTCCCATTGCCAGTTATATTATTACCCATATTCCTAATCAATTCTTTATTCCCGTTCTCAGATAGCAAAGCCATAACCTATTTGCTCTATCCCTGGCACAAAAGCTCCTATCCACATACCTAGCCTGGGAATCTGCAACAACCACGACTGTTGTGGTTGTTGGGCTGGTCGCCTTACCTTGTGGGGTGACCTGCACGCTTCCTACAACACTCATCCTCCATCGCATTCTCTCCGCACTGGATGTCTTCAGGAACATTGTGGCAGTTTTCTTCACAGTCTCCTAAGACCATTATCCTTTAAGACGCACCAAACAGAGGATTTCATAAGGCGGCCCTCGTCTCTAGCATAATATCGTGTGGCAACACATTCCTTCGGTAGTCTTAAGTTTCGAACATAAAGGGTTCACTTCCGTTCTAAGCATACAATATACAGTCCCACCGAGTCTCTAATACTGTTCACCTCCATCATGACTCAATCCAACAACACTTTTGTCAACACAGCTTAAACTAATTGTTGTTAGTGCATTACTTCCAAAATAATAATTACTGTTTCAAGTCATGCAATATGTATACTCCCCATAAATATAATTTTACATTGCATGAGCTCAAACATATTCCATGATTGAAGATGCTGCAGAAGTACTAGTACTTAACCCATAAACTGCGACATACATCACTTGACACATTCACTACACAGGGTAAACTGTGATTACCATCAGTTGACACTTAACATCTGGGTTAAACAGTCCTCAGCTGATGTGTGGTTGTTACCTTCAGTCGACAGAGGTCTCTGTAGCCTAGTGGCCACAGTTACAAAATTAAAAATCATTTAGTGCTCATAGAGATGTGACAGAAAAAGTCCGTTATGCACGTATCGGTCACGAGACCTCTCGCGCATGACTCCCTATTGCTTTCCTGGACAGAATATTTGTATTTACTGGATGGTACCAGTGATTAGAAGTACTAGTGAATTATTATTCATGGATAATAGTGATGACAAGTCTCTACATAATCTACAATCTACATTACCACTGGCACTGCATTCATTAATGTAAGTAAATTTCCTGTGCTACGATTTTTTTTAAGTTCAAATAGAGAGTACATTATAATGAAATAATTGTGTCAGGGGACAGGCAATCAATATATGCATACTGTACACGTTAGGCTTGTATCTAGATCCCCGCCAGGTTCGAATTATTGACCCCCATCCCCAGGATTAACCCCACAAGCTGACTAACTCCTGGCTACCTATTTACTGCTAGGTGAGCAGACGCATTAGGTGATTTCAAATGCCCCAAACAATTTGTCCCGCCTGTGGTAGCCAATATTCCCCTCCCTTCCCCCGTGTCAACATTGTTTCAGAGGATGAAACATATATATATTATGCATATTTTAATATAATTTGTTGGAGACGGGTAGCTTGTGGTATGTATATACATCTATCCCTATAAGAGAAGATATCTGTTTGTCTGTCTGTCCTAAAGTTGAAGGCAAGACGGTTGAGGTAGCTTTACCCAAATTTGCAGAGGGAATGGTCTAGGGTATGGGATGGACATGAGCAGGTCAGGAAGACTAAACAAAAAAAGTTAAATGTTTTATGAAATATTAGCAATTATAAAAAAAAAACTAGGTCATTCTCACAGCGTTAAGTGTGAAATATGGTGTGTGATTAATTTTTTTATTTTACTACAGTACAGTACTGTAGAAATACTGCCTAATCAAACCAAATTTTCAGTAATTACTTAAACAAAATTCTAAATTTTCTTGATTTGAGAGAACTATTCCATTAGCAACTTTTTTGTTTGTTTGGAAATTAAAATTTTGGCAGTTGCACTGTACTCAACAGCAGTATAATGGTCAAATGAGCTCAAGCATTAGTAGAATTCATTAGGTGACAAAAATAACATCAATAGCATTTCATATGAACCATGCATTAGCAAATGAACTTTTGAACAAACCCGAGGTTTATTCAAGATAGGAACCCCAAAATGTACATAAATGAACAAGATGGCATTAACAGACTGAACTCTAAATTCTTGAAATCTTAGGTAGATTTAGTTTGTTTCTTCATGCATATCTGGTTAACCCCACAATTAAACTTAGTGTCACTACAGGGCAAGCAGCAAAGTTCTCCAATACAGCTGCTCGGCGTTTGCCAAACTGCTGGCAAAGCTATGACAAACATTTTCCGAGGCTTAAAAGGCAATGTTGATGACCGACCACCAGTACACTGTGCCAAATAAAACTGAAAATTCATACAATGTACTAGTACACACACACTAAGGCATTATAAATCACAGTACTGTAGTTGGGTAATGATAATTGTGCCACTGTTAAGAATGTACAAATCTCACGTCTTGCCAAAGTACTGTATCTCCACGCTCAACTTCCAGCGCTTGGACTTCTCACCATTCAATACAGACCTGACCCCTAGCAATTGTTATTTAGTCTGAAGGCTCTTCTTTATTGTGTGAAATTTCAAGATAGAGAAAGCCTGAAATTAAATTAGTATTCACTGAAATTAAATTAGTATTGATTTGAGAATGACTGAAGGATTTAATTTTATTGGAATAAAGTGTTTTGAGAAAAAAGTGGCAAAGTACATCAACAAAGTGGGGAAGGGAAGGGGAGGACTTTAGTGTTTGTGAATATGAAGCTAATAAAAATGATCAGGTAAAATATGGTTGCTTCTAAAATATGGTGGACACATTGAATGAGTGCAGCATGGTGGAGGACATGATGAGTGCAGCATAGTGGAGGACATGATGAATGAGTGCAGCATGGTGGACATGCCAAGTGAGAGTGCAGAATGATGTACATGTGGGATGAGAGGAAAGCATGATTGGTGTAGCAATCTGTGACCTGCACTGATCCTAGAGACATTGCTGTATACTTAAGTCAGCTGGAAGATGCCATTAATTAGCAAGTCTAAAGTTTGTCAAATGAAGACCCACAGATACCTTTATGCACACATAATTTGATTATGAGAGGATTAATTTGATTACTACAGTATACTCAGTATAAGTAGAATTATTGGTTACATATCAACACTCAAATTTAACACAACTTGTTAAGGGAATGTTCTCATACAGCATATCAAAGATCACTGTAGAATGTTAAAACATACACCCTAGCCAGTTAGCCAACACAAATGAACCTACCTTGAGGTTACCTTGAGGTGCTTCCGGGGCTTAGCGTCCCCGAGGCCCGGTCGTCGACCAGGCCTCCTGGTTGCAGGACTGATCAACCAGGCTGTTGGACGCGGCTGCTCGTAGCCTGACGTATGAGTCACAGCCTGGTTGATCAGGTATCCTTTGGAGGTGCTTATTCTTTCTATACCTATAGTATAGAAACACAATGGTATCATACTGTTGTTTCAGAATCTTATGTCGATTGGTGATCTGACTACACTGTACATCACAGCTAAGAATGATCAACTGGAATCCTTACAACAGTTTGGTTTACCAGACAGAACCTCGTTGAATTGTAGTCAGGTGTATGTACAATCACGACAACATGAAAGTGGCAGTTTATTCCAGGAAGTATCAATGGACACATTTCATATTCACTTTTCTTTCGTTAAGAAATATTTTTATTACGAATTCACTATAAATTTTTTAACCTATTGTTAACTAATGTCACAAACTGCAGATGTTGCAGTATGATTAGCTGCAATATTCAAGTCAAAAGTGCTATAAACAAAAACAATATAAATACACAAAAAATACATTTGATCTTTACAAGTTAGCACTGATGACTCCCAAGTGTAAAGTTTCTCTTGCTAAGTTTCGTATTTATAATATATGAATTACCTACAGGGAATAAATGAAAATTTAACAGATTGACACTGGTTCAGTTTTGCAAGATTAGTAATGGAGATGATTATTATTTCGATCCATGATTGCTTAACTCCAATTATTGTCAAGTGCAGATTCACAGACATTTAAGGAGAAAATTCCAAATAATTGTAGACATGAAATGAATTGGTGTAAAAAGAAAATTAGAGTTAACAACAATGTAGTATACTATCGTGGATGTGTAAAAGTTTAGAATTCATGAAAAGAAACTTTTTTTAGATGCTCTTCCCTTAGGTACTACTAGATGGCATATTGAATATGAAGTCAAATTCAACATAAATTGAAGAAATGTAAAGCATTCTTAACAAATAATATTGATAAGCATATACCCCTATGTTAATTTAAAAAATATTTTTATTTTGTACAACAATATTTACAGATACACAAAAATGTCAAATTGTAATTATCTCTGATGGTTACTTGTATTACTAGGATTCAAATACATTTTAAAATATATTTTAAGCTACACTATCCCTGAAACACAAGTTGTACAGATAATAACCCCAGCATTAAATAAAAAAAATATAGGTAACAATAAATTGCAAGAACTACACTATAATTTTTCTACTTACAAATTACATATTTACAATGCATTGTGCGCAATATTAGAAATTCCCAACTGAACGGTTTGTTTCAGTACTAAGCTACCAGAAATAAATTATTCAACCTATCCGTTACATTCTAAAGATACCAAATGTTGTCTTGGGAATAGCAGCATTTAAAGAAGCAGAGAGAGAGAGACCAAGGACGTGTCTTGTATCCACAGGGTCAATCACTCCATCGTCCCATAGTCTGGAAGGAAACAATGAGAAAGTTTAGAAGGCGCACGCGACCATAACAAAATATTTTGATCGGCACTTAATGATATTATAGCTGAAACTTCAGTTTCACTAAACTCTGTTGCTCATAAACATTTGTGTAAAAAGAAACATTTATTTTCTAATAAAATTTCTTTTCCTAGGCAAAAATATTTGTTGGTCAGGTATTTATTATAAACTCAGAAAATATTATCTCCAGTGATTACTTTGTCATTTTCTTATTTTATTTAAAAATTAAATTATTTTACTTCTTGCACACATCTGTAATGCTCAACACATGCAAAGGTAATTGATATTATAGGTATCTAATACTGTGTTGAACACTGATAATTCAAATACAGTATTATGATGGACTCTAGCTATGTTTTGGATATTTACACAAGTGCACACATTTGGCAGCTAATGATTAATCTGGAGGTGGGGTAAAGTTGTCTGAACTGCATACACCCCCAGAGATAAACAATCTATCCAAGTGCACCAGGATGTGAATTTTTAAAATCTAAATACAGTATTTTGGTGTAATTTGCCTATTAAGTAATGAAACGTTGCCTTGGTAACCTTGTCGCTGAACTTAAAACGATAATGACTAGGATATATGGATAAATCAGAATAAATTTGCTGATTTTGTTTATGGAAATTACTGTATGTGTTTTAATAAGAAAGAATATAACACGCACTCTATAAATAGATTACTATAAAAGGAAATACAGATACAGACAAAGTAATAAGGCTACAACATATGACTGTAACAAAACATCATGGATACACGTCAGTTTTAAATTATTTAAAGGAAACAATTTTTACCGACAGCTGAATTGGCCAATAAAAAATATAATTAACATTTAATGCAGAAGGCAAACCACTGTAAACAAAAATGTATTTTACTGCACAAATAGTAAATACAGAATATTTTTAGCAAAACTACAAAGGTAAATAAATTGCTCTCGATCACAGGTGGCTGCAACTAATTACATATAAACTAAAAACATTTGGCTAAGAAATCTACACATTTCTTCATTATTCACCATTGTAATCCTTCTTTCACACGACGCTACCCTACTACTATGCTTTCTTGGAAGAAATGTTTTAACATAATATAATTACTACAATAAGCAACAAATTACAAAATTGTTTGCTACATATCGCTTACTATATTGAACAAAAATCCTCTCAATAATATCCACACATTTTAGCATCATGGGCAAATAGTACCACACACTACTAAACTATTTATGTAAGAGCCAGCATTACCGTGCACTAGAGAAGTATGGGGAGCCTTCGGCCTCGAAACGTTTGATAATAGGATCCTTAAGTGCACGCTCCTCTGCATCCGTCCACTGAAATTTAGAAGAAAACCAAAATCAATAAATGCTTTCACAAGGAAGCTGTACAGTACTCACTTCATATCCTGATACATACATCTTCAAGAATATGCTACCCACTCTTAACCTTAATACATGCTACCACAAGAATATGGTACCCACTGTGTACCTTGTGGAAGCATGTTGCAAGGTACCATATGTTGGGTACCTTGCAACATTGTACAGTGGGGGTATCATATTCTTGTGGAAGCTTGTATCAAGGTAAAGCATGAATAAAAAATATGGTAACCCACTATTTACACTGACATGTTTTCAAAGGGATGTGGCACCCACCAATAAAACAAAATCCAAATAATCATTCGAGGTACAACACTGAATTCTTCAGCAACACAACCAGTAAAACTCTGCAATGTAGAGTTAACTATGTGAATGTTTTCTTTTTATTTGTACAGTATCTGTGTATAATGTATATGCTACATATTATTTATTATGAATTTGATTAAACAAATTACAGAAAGTTTGCATAGTAAGCAGTTCTAGATGTAAAATGCCATACATTTCAATATAAAAATAATTCAGTCAATTAGTATAAATTTCCCTTATCACAAACAGTCTGATTAGCCACAGCATTTTAATTTAACCCTGTAATACCCAAAATAAGATAAAATGAATTTGACAAAAAGACACAAATCAAACTGAAAAAAAGGTGCCCATCTTTGTGTTATTGTATTAAAAAAGTAACTGGATGAATTCCCAGTGAGAATATACAAAGTAAAATATTTACAATTATAGTTGTGCATGTATTTCATTGTCAAGATTAGGAAAGGGCTAACAAACATTCAAATTACCAAAGGTAATTATTAAATATAAAATACTACTTGTACATCTCATAAGTCAACATTTGGTATCACTTGGAAATACAGGGTCACCTGAGCTAACAAAATAGATAAAAGAAAGCTATTCAGGAGTTAACAGAAGTTATCTAATACTGCTTGTAGTAGTACAGTGCAAGTCCTGTATAACCCAACTTGTGTTACATAGTTACTGATATTCAAACTTTAGGGTTATCACACTTCATATATATATAATAGGAATAATTTGTTTAAACATTATTATCAACATTTAAACTCATTTGAATAAACACTGTCAGCCTTCACTATGCATGAAATGCAACTAGGCAAGTACAGGTGAAATACAACTAGGCGATTCTAAGAAAATCTCTGTGTAAGCAAATTTGAGGAAAGCCAATATAAGGCTACTAAATATTAGACAACGTTGGGTATGTCCCAGAGATTTCAAAATGTCATTTTTTTCACTCTTCTATCAATAAAACCCCATCCTGTACATTAATTCTAAATACTCTCATGAACACAGTGTACTGTATTAGACTTGTCCACTTATCAATATCATAGATGAAAGTATACGTTACCCAACATATTTTCACGGGGCCATCCCAAGGTGTAGCACTCATTGCACAATCTGTCCTCTTAAAAAGAACGTCGCTTTTGGCTGTTTGCCCGTATGGCCGAATTTGGACGTAATTTGAAAATGAAAAAAAAATGAAAATAAATTTGGGATTTATTTTTTCAACAACAGTAAGTTAAGGGTCTTCTGATAGGTTAGGTGGGCAGGAAATTCTCATAAAGTTTCAAAACGTTATGAAAAACGTGAATTGAAAGTCATCTATTCTAACCATACAGAGTCGGCCGGACGACTCAAACAGAAAACGGAACAGTACGTCACTTTTGTGAGTCAATTTCATTTCAAGTTGCGTCCAAATTTGGCCATAGTGCGCATACGAGCCAAAAGTGACGTTATTTTTAAGAGGACGGGTTGCATTGCAGTGTGTTTGGAGGGTGTCTTGATGTGTGTGTTTGGAGGGTGTTTTGATGCGTGTGTTTGGAGGGTGTTTTGATGCGTGTGTTTGGAGGGGGTCTTGATGCAAGATTAACTCAAAAAATGCAAAACACTAAAAAATGATTGAAAACTCATGCTTGATGAACTACAGAGTCACATCTAGTGGTTTTCTACTACTGTAAACAGCTACCTGATAGTGAATTTTGTCAGTATTGAACTCGCATATAGTGAGAATTGACTACATATTTAAATTAATCTCCAAGGCTACAGGTTTCTTATATCAGTAATTTTTACTCTCTTACCTCTTTACCCTCTCTATGTCGCTGTGCCCGTGTGATCTGTGCCAGTACTCCAGCTGCCTGTTCACCACCCATTACGCTGATGCGACTATTTGGCCACATGTATAAAAATCGGGGTCTGCAAATGAATACACATCATTACTTTTCAAAATATGATGCATATTATTTTTATTAACAGTAACATTAACACTATTATACATTATACACTATAAAACGTACTTGAGAAATGCTCACCAATGACTTGCATTAATCTGAGTGTTCTATGTTTTTATAGCAAAAAAGATAATACATAACTATACTAGTTGGTAACTCACCATTAATTGCATGATTCTTTTGCAACTAAAAAATCTAAATAGAATACTAAAGAGTGGACAGATTTTTTTTCAAATAATCTTCAAAGTGTAGCTAATAATCTATCTAAGCTCTAAAGAAACTGTTAATGTCATCTACTATGAACCAACAATACATATCACATCTAGTACCACTATCATGATTCAAACATTCTTTTAAGATTAGACAATAACTGAAATAACACAAACTATAATTACAGTAATATGTGTACGATGCTCACCCATAAGCTCTTCCACACATGCCATAGTTGCCTGCACCATAAGAGCCCCCAATGATCACGGTAAACTTTGGCACTTGTGCACACGACACAGCTGTCACCATCTTGGCTCCATTCTTAGCAATCCCACTTGCCTCTGCCTCACGACCCACCATAAAACCTGTGAGGCAATGAAATGCACCTTATATAGTTCCACACTAAGAGTCTGATGTCCTATTATACAAGATTAAAGAACTTAAAAATATCTTCTTTGTAATACGTACAGAAGCTGTGATAATGATACATTAAAAACGATTTGGTGACATGAGTGGGCGGTGAGAAAAAGCAGCCTAAATATACACAGTAACAAAATACTGTACAGTATTACATGCAACACACCAGTAATATTTTGTAAGAAAATCAAAGGTATCTTCCGCTGGCAACAAAGTTCAATGAAGTGCGTTCCTTTAAGTGCAGACTCTGAGAAGAGCACACCATTATTGCCAATGATGCCCACGGGATAGCCATATAGGTGGCCAAATCCACACACCAATGTCTCCCCATACATAGCCTGCAAAATTGCAAATCCATACATTAAAACAATTCTGCTCAAGCCATGACAAAGCTGTTATATCATATTCCTTACTTACGTGAATTACACAAATCTGTACACGCCATTCCGCAGGTGGTGATGTCACAAAGGGTGTCGAGAGATGTCAATACAAAGGGAGAGATCATTTATCCTGAATTTTTTTTAGCATCAAGATCTGCTGTAAAAGTTTAATTTATTAATGAATAGTGCTACTGATAAGGAAATGTAAGAAATGCTGCAAAGAGGCACAACAGGCAAGTTATATCATTTGTTATACAATCTACAACACAGGTTGTAGTCGTGACTTTAGAGAAGTCCTACACAGTAGACTTTTTTGGAAAGAAGATTGAAGATTATAAGGAAGAAATATATATATGCATATGTATCAGACTTACCTTAAACTCGTCAAACTCGGATCCATCAACAATTCGAGCGATTACTTCCTTTACATCGTACGTCTTCTTGAGGTTGTCTCCAACAATTCCATACAGGTCATGTGTATCAAACACGGGCTCCTTTACCTCCCTTACGGAAATCTGAAGCATTCGTACAGTATTATAATTTAAGTCCATATGGTACCAACAATCATTAGAAGTTTACAAGTGCATGTAGTACTATACCTATAATGCTTCATTCAAAGTGTTAAACATAAGTTTTGTGGTCAGGTCAAACTCGGTAAAATATAAAGCACAGGACATTTGTTACTGCCATATTGCAAATCAACTATCAAAATTGAACTCACTTGAGGGACTTTTGTGCGGTTGAGAGTGCGGACAATTCTTCTTGCTAGGTGAAGGGCATGTGTGTCATCTAGGGCATAATGATCAGTCACACCCGATTTCCTGTAAAATTCAAAGAGCTGACTTGAGATATATCAAGAATAAAATGAACACGTGATTATCAATGATCCATAACACTAGTACTCTTCCCATTTCTGAAGCTCCCCTCATCCTTAATATATTCCTCTGGTACATCATTATGCAATATGGGAATAAAAAGTACATTATTATACAATATGGGGTATAAAAAGTGTATACACCATTATACAGTATGGGTATGAAAAGTACACTATTATACAGTATGGGGTATAACAAGTACACCATTATGCAGTTTGGGTATAAAAGGTAATCAAGTACAGTACAGACAAATTCACTGCAACAAAGATAGACATATGATAGATTTTTTCAGTCAAATTTTTCATCTCGAAAGGAGTCAAAACACCAAAATAAAACTTATCTAAGGCAAAATTCACATATGTACTGTATATTCTTTTGCCCAGTAAAAGTTTCCAGTATAACACATGTTCGGCACTTTAAAAATTGGTCCACAGAAGATGCACTTATTCCTTCAAGTGTTGAATTTGAAGATCTAATCTCAACCAAACATTAATAAATTTGTAAAAGTTAAAACAAATGAATGCAGTACAACAACTAAACCCGAACAAATTTGATTATCAAACAATAATATTTAAACAATATTTGCACAAAACAGCCAACTTGTCCATAATTTTTCATCTTCTAGTAGGCATACACAGTTGCAATATGAGAAATGGATAAGTGTGAAATATACCTGTAGTTCACAACTGAAAGTCTTGGTAACAATTCCCTATACACAGGAGGGAGACGTTTGGGCATGGTTTCCTTTTGCCCAATGCCTCTATTTACCCTGCAATAAATATGTACCTAAGAATTAGGTAACTGTTGTGGGTTACATCCTTTTTGAAGGTAAATTATTGGCCTAGGGGTACCTTGAAAAGTCTAATGAGCTTTCCGTTTCTGACTTAAGAAACCCAGACTTTGGTAATGGTAACACTCAATTAAATACCTGAAACCTGAAGTTACATATATATATTGACACTTCTACCTACCGACAATGCAAGTCGGCTCCGCCTAAATCTTCTGATGATATTTCCTCACCGGTGGCAGCCTTGACAAGTGGTGGTCCTGCTAGGAAAATGGTTCCCTGTTGTCGCACAATAATGGATTCATCGGCCATGGCGGGAACATAGGCTCCACCAGCTGTGCAAGAACCAAGGACAACTGCAATCTGCAATAATAAAAGTGAAATTATTTTTGTCAACTTAAAAGACTTAATAATTGTATGGAAAATATTCATATCAGATCCACCTAAATTATGATAAAAATTATTAACATAATGAGGTTTTAAATGCAATGTGAAATCTTTTAAATTTTTATTCCAATACAGTATTTATCATGACCTTTCAGGGAAAAATCTGGGCTTGGGTAATTTGCTTTAAATGATACTCATAAAACCAATAGTGTTTCTTCCCTAATATGTTGGATATGACTGTGAACAGCCCATTATTTTTGTCCAGAAGTATAACTGGGAGTATGATAAAAGTAGAAAAGTGTCCAACTGCATTTTTAGAATGGCAACACCTCATATGGATAATGGTAACACACCTCATATTGACTAAAGTGACATCTCATATGGATAATAGCATACAACCTATAGATAATACCATTCGCTGTACTGTACTTTAATTAGGCATTAGTTATTCACTTTTACGTTACAGAAGAAAAATCTTGTACCATTACATTACACCAATAAGAAACTTGAATACTTTACATAGAAATATAACATTTTTGGCTAGATGTTTGACTTACAACAGTTCAAACAACAACAGACAACAATAACAACATAACGTATCTGATGGAGGTGGCTAAAAACGACCTTACAGTACTGTATTACAAAACACTGACATCATTGTGCCAAGCAGCCCACCTGAGCTATACCCCGAGATGACATGTTTGCTTGATTGAAAAAAATTCTGCCGAAATGATCCCGATCTGGGAAGACATCAGCCTGGCTCGGGAGGTTGGCACCACCAGAGTCCACCAGGTAGATGCACGGCAGGTTGTTCTCCTGGGCAATCTCTTGTGCCCTAAGGTGCTTCTTCACAGTAATGGGGTAATAAGTCCCGCCTTTAACTGTTGCGTCATTTCCAACAATCATGCACTCCACCCTAAAGACAAGTAATGATCATCACCAATAACAGTTCAGTGAAAACATCCATTTTTTTTTAATTCAGTGTTGGTGTAGGGGTGAAGGAAGGTGAAGGGAATGGCAGGAGGAAAGGAGAAAGAAAAAAATAGAAAAGCAAAGAGAGAATTGGAAACAAATATCCATTAAAATCTCTTTTTATGAGCATAGCTGTTCTGTCAATACCAAAAAATAGTGATCTAGTGTGCCTTAATAAGATCATGGTACAGTCAGCCAGGAATACATGTTACCACTCCCCTAATAATTACAGTGCCCTTGTAGTACCATACATTACTCCAAGTACAGTACTTTGAGTTTGACCCAGGGAACACATTTTCAAAAAATGTCTGTCTGAACCAAGGGCAAAACACTTTCATGGCAGAAGCAGATTAACTATGCTCAGAGAGGGAGCTTCAAGCAAGCACATAAAATAACTTTAGATCTTCATTATTGAAAATTGAGACTAACAGAAATGTGTAATGCAACCCAAAACTTGGGGAGGGGGTCCTTCATAGCCTATGCTATGTAGGTCCGTTTAAACCTACTGTTTAAACAATATTCCAACTGTTGACAACTGCTCTAGTCTACAATGTCCAATGTCCTGACAATGCTGCATCTTCTTGGCATGCAGAAGAGAATACAAATGGATACAGTGCCCTGAATCACTTAGGAAAGCTTTTAACTAAGCATCTGAAGTTTATCTTATAGTGTGGTGTGTGTGTGTGTATATATAAAATATATATACACACACAAAATTTTTAGGATTATATATATATAATCCTAAAATTTAATAGGTTGTTCTTACCCTGAAACCTTGCCAATCCCAGTGATGATGCCACCTGCTGGTATATCATTGTTGCCATACAGCTGGTAGCCTGCCAGCTGTGAAAATTCCATGAATGGAGTGCCTGGATCAATCAGCTGACTGACACGCTCTCGAACTAAAAGTTTGCCTGAAAAAATGCAAAGAAAAACTAATAAGGATTCACTGAAACATGTAATTTTCAAGTTAACTCATTATTATTGTGTGGGATAAATTTTTACATCAATTAAAGATTTGGTTGTGATAAAACCACATGTACGTTAATATTGATTTAAACCCTTATATATACTTCTTTAAATCAGTATTTGTACAGCACAGCCAAGTCGTAGTTTCCTTTATGTAACAGTTCCTACCTTTGCTCTTATGGCGCTCAATAGCCTTTTCTCCGCCCCCAAGAGTGATAGTTTCAATACGTCCATGCAGTTCACCCACCAAAGATTTCATACGCAATTCATTTTCCTGAAAAAAACGTAACGTTTTGAGTGGAGATGAATATGCTCCTTTCTGAGAATTACCATGTAACTGCTACCTTAAGCAACCCCCCCCCCCTTTGCTGTTCCAGGGCATTGCATGCATCAGCCTGGACCAACATGACCCTCATGGGACAATGGAAGGAGAGATAAGAGTAACAGAAAGAAAAAGTGATAAGGAATGTGCACAGTATAATGAAACGAAGCAATGTTAGCATGGGAGTTGACACAAGACTGGTATCAGCCTTGAAATGTGCGTGTTAAACATGGGGAATGGAAAAGGGGTAGAGTACAGTACTCGAGCACACAAGGGTGGAAATTAATTCTTTGAGGAAAACAGCTGGTGTAAGTGCTGTATGTGCTCGTTTATCCGAATTCCGCTACATCGGACATTTGGGTTATCTGGTTAAAATCATATCCGGATATTTTTCTGGCAAAACTTCACCATCCCTAGATAGCAATCAGGATAATGGAGGTTTGGTTGGAAAAGTGCAGAAATCTCTTTAATGAAAGAATGCATCATCAGCCTCTGATGAACGTATCATCAGTTTTTAATGAGAGCATGTATCATCAGCTTCTAATGAGAGCATGGAGGTTATTATAATTTTTTATCATCAGCTTCTAATGAAGGCTTCCCGGCCCTGGTCTGACGAAGCTTGCCAGTTGTAAAGTTACAGGCTAACACACCTGGAATTCCTCAGATGTCCTGTCAGGTGTGGATCCCACGACGTTGACCGTGTCATTGTGGTAGTGCCTGAGAGCCGTGTAGCGCCTGGAGACACAGGCCGAGACCCTTAATAACCGGCTATGGATCATCTTCCCAGGAGCCGAGAGAGAGAGAGAGAGTGTCTCACGCCGGGACGGTCTTGGAGTACACACGCTCTTCGTACATGAACATTTTTTGTGCACTCTATCAACCATAAATTAATTAATTGATTGTCACTGTGTATTTGATATTTTTTACAACTACGCTATATAGTAGACATGCAGAAAGTATTGATGAATGACATTACTTAGGTTAATTTAAGTTATTATTAAGTTTATTTTCTTTTATAAATCGTACATATGTAAACTGTTTTGTACGAAATAGTCTGACTCCCAGCTGATACTACTCCTTCTTGTCCGTCACAGATCCCGCTAGGAATCAATCTCTCCTAGTCTAAATCTTTACTTTTACACACAGAAAAATAAAAATAATATGCTTTGTTACTTATGATAATGCTTGAATTGAACTTTCCGTAAAATTGAAATGGTATTCATTTCAGAAAGAATGTACTAGTGCTAGATAAAAACGAGTGCTCACTGGTGTCGTCGAGACGTCGATTCATTGTAAATTTACCTGAATTTACCAAAGGGCCTCTTACCCGCTAGTGGCCTCCACCAAGACAAGAAGCCGGGGCTTGTCAAATGTCCCATCATTTATCCTGGTGATTTTTTTCAAGCTGTATTTGAAAAAAATTGCAATTTTAGCATTTACAGCTTCGGCGAGTAGGCAGTTCCATGGGTTTATATCCCATTGGGTGAAAAAACATCCTATTTTCTGTCCTACAAAGTGGCTTGTTGCTCCTTATTTGTTTTGAAGAGATCCGCTCTTTCGTGTCTGGTTTGTAGTGCTGTTAGTCTTGAGGCCTCAACCTTTCCTGGTATGGGAGTAGATTTAGTTCTGGGATGATTTTTGTTGCCCGGTGTTGAACTTTCTCCAAAGCTATGCCTTTCTGAAGATGAGGGCTCCATGCTTGGATAGTAATCCAAGAGTGAATGTCAGAAAGGGTGACAGGGCATATCAGAGATTTATTCAGTTGAATAACTACCTTATTTTCCTTGAAGTCAAAGGTTCGCTTGACTATTCCTAGGTTTGGATGGATTTTTTTTACCGCTTTTTATACCACTTTTTTGCATTTTTCAGTAATTTGTGGATTCTGACTCCAAGGTCGATTTCTTTATCAATCTTCTGCAAGGTAATGTTGCATATTTGGTAATTGTAACGTACATTTTTCCCCAACATACAAGGTTTTCCATTTTTCGATATTTAAAAACCAGTCTTCCGACCATTTGTGAAGTTCTTGTAGATCTCTTTGTAAGGCCTTAACACTTTCACTTCATACCTTACATAGATCTTAGTGCCATCTGCAGTGTGGTAGGTGTGACATTTACATATTTCCAATCTAGGGAGACTCTTCCTGGGTCCAGAGATTTTCTGAATAGGAGTTTCATTGGTAGTCATAGTTCATCAGCAAGTTCCTTTGCGGTTTTGGATTTAATTCCATTCACAACCTTGGGCTTTAGGTTCCTTTGGTTTGTCAATGCTCTTTCTGATAATTTCGCACATTATGGAAATGTGCATAATATGGCCTTCCGCCGGCGAGGCAAGAACTAACGCTGCTAGTTGATTTGTCATAAAGCAGTGGCTTGGTCCTGCGAAATGTGCTAACGTTGGAACAACACCTTAACACTTCTTAAATACTTATAATGATAAATTAAACAAATATATATTCCTTGGCAGTGTTTATTAATTTTGCAGATAAAATTTATAAATTACATGTTTGACTCGGGGAAATTATAGGAAATGGTGCAACAGTATACGAGGATAAATGAGAGAGAGAGAGAGATAGAGATTATAGAAGCGAGGAGTGACGTTCCTGGACTATTCAGCAGGAGACAATCGCAGTGTCCTAACTGAGCTGGACCAAGGCGGCGAGGGCACCGCTGTAGGCGGCGTTGTAGTCGCAGCCCACCTCGTTCTGCTGGTAGTTCTGGCGGACATCCTGGTACTCGCCGGTCTGGGAAAGGAAGAGAAAAATTGAGCTGCGAAGATAGTTTGTTGTAAACCACAAAGTTTTCCATAACTGTAAACTTATTCTCATTGTCGGGAACATGAAGACTGTACTTAGGCTTAACAACAAAATTCAGTCAAATTTAAAATAATGGTAGTGTTTCCAGGAAGAAGATTTAGGTTATTGTGTATTTTACCAAGAGCCTCTGAGGCGGTAGATGACCCTAAACACACGAAATTAGGAATTTGGAAGAACACTGTGGACCCGGGTCGTAGAGAACCCTTAAAACTAACAAAACACGATACCTGGGGTGTGGGTTTGGTAGGGCTCTGGAACGTAAGCCAAAAGTACTGGGGGACACCGAAACGGACATCAACAGTACTGTAGAAGTCAACAGTAGTGAAGAGACCCTTGGAGGGACAGCAACAGTACTGGGGGGAGGAGACTCTTGGAGGGACAGCAACAGTACTGGGAAGGTAAGACCCTTGGAGGGCTAATAACAGTACTCATACTCCAGATCTTCACTTGGGCATAGCTGGAGTGAGGATTGTGTGCAAAGAAGACCTTCACCTAAGCATGTATAATAAAGACTGCATAGCAAAGAATGAGTAATGAAGATCGTGTATAGTGAAAACAAAAATTATGTCATAGCACCACAAATGATCATATTAATCAAGGGGGGTTCACGTCACTAGTACAAAGATCTTGGACTGCTGATGTGGTGGTTGCTGTGCTGTAGTCATATACTCCTTGAAAAGTGAGGTTTCTGCTCGTTGCCAACACTATTGTATTGACTGTCCTTCACGCAGTGTAAGATTACATCTAGTACTTACTTGTGGGTTGATGATTGACTCTCTTTGTCTTTTGTGTCTTGCAACATAAGAAAACAGTTTTGTTCGTGACATGCGCCTCATGAACACACAGGTCAACTCTAGAAGCGCCTTTACACTCTACGAAGGACAACCAGGGCAGCGGCCACAACTGGGAAGACGTTTACCCGACTTGACGTACACAAGCAATTCAATTAGAAGCAGCAATTCAGGACATTTGTGCAAACCCTGTAAATGCTTTGGTTACAATCAACATGTATGTTACTAGCAAGGCTTTCCCTTGTAACTGCTTCACTGGAGCACGGCCGCCACCAGGTGCCAAATATGTGACCAGAAAAAATCTTACAAAGCGTCACGTACCTTAAGTGGTCCGCCGACGAGAGCGCCGTACAGCACGTGCGGGTTGGGACCCGTCTGCGTGTACGCCCACCCGAAGTCGCACACCTCCGGGGGCTCCGGACACGAGCTGAGGAAGATCACGTGAACCATAGCTGTTAATGTTTGAGTTAACTGCGCAGTCTAGTCTCAGCTGGTGCCACTTGTTCTTGCTAATAGTGAGTATTAATATTGATTTATCTCAATGTATTGGGAACAACAAAAAGAAAATGCTTACAATTTTAAATAGTTTATGAATTAATAAGCTGACAAAATATAATATGAATGTATGTATACACATTTATATATAATCAAGTTACATCAGCTCTTAGACTCTTCCTTTCCAGTCGCCAGTCGTCTAATTCAATGATTCCTGACCTAAATTTATTATATCTACATTTGAAATTGAGGATGTAATTGATGTCTACTTCCTTATCGTCTACTTTATTTAATTTTCTTACTTTTTGTATGGAAACAAAAACAATCTAATCTGGCTTACTTATGTCTGAAGTTTTCTACTTTCCAATTTTCGGAGTTTGTATGTCTTCTAAGTTTCTCAATTCCCAATTATTATTATTATTATTATTATTATTATTATTATTACCACCACCGAGATCACAATATTTTTCCCATTTGCTGTTAGTCCCAGTGACGAAACCTGTGTATCCATATGTATTTCTATCTTCTAGCTTGTCACACTACCAATTTCGTTTTAATAGGAGTACCACTCTTCATCCATGCTTTTGTTTCCTTTCTTATGTGTTGGTATTCCCTGGGAATATTGCATCCAACCGAGATCATGGCATTTTAAGTTTCCACTATTGCAGTTATATTGAATTCTATTTCACTAACATTCCTTAATTTCCACTGCTTTGTTTTTAACTCCATCAGCATTGGTGTACCAGATGTTGAGACACTTCTTAGACACTGTTTCCAGAATTATCAGAGCACTCCTGTCAGTTGGTTTTACTGGTGTAGGTTGCAAATAAGAGATGAATGTAAAGAGGTTTGTAATACACAGCTAATACACTTTGGGGAGGAAGAGTCAGAATGGTGCATAATGTCAGAGGGGAGGAGACCTAGACAGTAAATAACAGGGGAAGGTTAGAGACAGAGGAGGGAAGGGTTGAGAGGTAGAGGGTGGGCCAAGAGGTGGAGTGGGCTGAGAGGCAAGGGGTGGGCTGAGAGTCAGAGGGAGGCTTGAGCAGCAGAGGGGGAGCAAAGAAGACTCAGTTAATGATTCAGCAGGTGGCAGAGAAATAGGGGAGCGTAGCGTAATATAGGTGAGCGAAAATGGAGGATATTGAGAGACAGAAGTGGGCTGAGAGACAAAGGATGGTAGAGGTTTTCAGGGACGCACAAGAGGGGTGGTGTGGGGAAAAGGGGGAAGTGCGAGACAGAGGGAAGGTGAGGGGGGGGGGGGGCACTGGGGTATGTCTGTGTGCGAGTGTACGTACCTGCTGCGATGGTGGGGCCGCTCAGGGTACTTGTCGCCGAAGCCGACGACGAAAGACATGTTATAGCGGGTGTTGTCGCCGAGCAGCTGACCCATCTGTCCTCTCGCCCACTCCTGGTTCACCTCCGTGTCAACGCCTTCTTTAGCAGCCTTAATAACAACAGCAAAAAGAGAGAAGCAAATGGTCTGACTTCACTAATGATATAAAACAACATTTACTCTCTCTTCCTAAGACAGTTCTTCATCTTCCTGCTGTCCTGTTTTTATGAGGAAAAGAAGCAATGAAGGTTAAAATTTGCGTCAAATAGCGGATTTATCTACACTGGTTTACTCCCTCGCTGTATCACAGCACAAACTACTCACGACAGGCAGACGATTACACGAATTTTTATAAGAATTTTGATCTGAACTACATTCAAGGCATAAATATTTGATCAGATGGTTACATTTTTGGATGGGCTTTGTTAGTATATTGGGTGGTTGAATAGTTATCTTGAGGTAATCTTGAGATGATTTCGGGGCTTTAGTGTCCCCGCGGCCCGGTCCTCGACCAGGCCTCCACCCCCAGGAAGCAGCCCATAACAGCTGACTAACTCCCAGATACCTATTTACTGCTAAGAAACAGGGGCATCAGGGTGAAAGAAACTCTGCCCATTGTTTCAAGTATAGTATTTTGTATAATATCTGGTCAGTTCAAGGCCTTTATTGATATCTTCTGAGTAGAAGAGGTAGAAATACTAACCCAGAGACTGAGGAAGGCCGCGTTGGCGGCGTACCTGTTGGAGCCCCAGTCAGCAAGGGCGACCAGGCCCTCTGGGGTGTAGGGAGCGCTGTCCCTCAGCCAGACCAGGTACGTGTTCAGGTGGTTCAGGTAGTCCTGGGAGCCGTCCAGCAGCCAGAACAGCGCCTGTAGAGGGCAGAAAAAAAGCCGTATGGTGTTGACAACGAACAAGCCATCCAGAACAACACCCGCGGCAATATGTCACACTTCAGATTACTGTTAACCATTCTAGCTCAAAATACAAATTAAAAATCAACTCGATTTCCGTCTCATTGCAAAGTACATTGACGTAAGCCAGAATGACATGGCTTGCAGACATATTCACTGGGAATTCCCGCTTCCGAACTCTGCTACCAAGTGGCTCCCTTCACCAGAGAGTGTGTCCTGGTAACTAGTAATACCACTTGTAAGTAATTTAAGAATTAAACAGTTGTGGAGGCAAAATGTGATGAAAAGCGTCGTTAGATTTCCATCGTACGTAAATGCCTTTCTCCGAGCTTGACTTTGGTTTGTGCTCTACTTGCACTGAAATTTGTACATACAGTCGAATGTGATATATGTCTTAGAAATAACAGCAACACCCTAGTTTATAGAGCCTTGCACAGCTGCCTCAGCATCATTTAAGGTCATGTAGAATATTTCTTATGGATTCCATCTCATGCTAGAATCCGAATGCATGATAGAATTGATGACCCTAAAGCATGCTCTCTTAAAAAGAGTATGTTAGTTATAACTTTGGACTGCTTAAAAAGAGTATCGTTGAGAGTGTGCAAATAACTTGATGGTGTTATTAGTTATCATTGAAATTATCTCATCATTCTAATTTTGTGCTATAGGTTATGTCAATGTCAGACTCACTGCTCCAATTGTGTGTCATAAGGTTTTTGAGTCGCTGTGCACCTGTTCACTCCAGTCTTAACGGAACACTGTACGGGATTTAGGCAAGTAAGCTAATTTATGTTTTCAAAATGTTGACATCACTAGAACAAGCAGAGATACAGCAAGCGCAGACAGCTGTTAAGATAACCTCAAGATAAGCTGTCTGTGACCTGCTAGACGTCTAAGTTCATTGTCTGCAGCGAGCCTAGCTGCGAGAGCCTAAGTGCATTGTCTGCAGTGGAAATATTTAAACTGTTGAAACTTAAAGAATAAGTGAGACTCACATAGACTCCAGCCTTCTTGTCGTCCCAGGAGAACTGAAACGCTGCAGAAGACTCTAAATCAAACTCGTCCCAGTGACCCTTGACGCGGGTGAGGTAGGAGTCGTCGCCCGTCGCCCTGGCGAGCCACAGACCAGCCCAGCACAGCTCGTCACCGTACCCGCTCCACGACCTGGGGGACAAGCGGGTACTGGAGTGGCTGTGTGGCTCACTAAACTCTTATTGTGGTAGTATTGAGAATATATTTAAACTAATACACATCTAACCCACGGAGTTGTACTCAGCTGGTACGGTTGAGTGCTAACTCCTGAGCCCCGCCTTACCAGTTGTCGATTGTCTAATAACGTGACTCCTGACCATTCTGTTTTTTTGGCATATCTACCTTTGAAAGTATTCATTATGTTCCTTTGCTCCCCCGATGTGTGATGCTTCTCCAACCGGTACATGTTCTGCACAAGAAACTCACCGGTACCAGTTGTAGGCGTCGGTGATGGACTGGTCGTAGGTCAGCCTGAAGTTGTCGGCGAATTCGTAGAGTTCCTTGGCGACGTCAAGCAGCTGAGTCGCGTACTCTGGATCCACGTCCTGGTGAGGGATACATGAGCCAGGTGAGAGATGCACAGGGTTTTAGTAAGGTAGAAGTAGCAAAGTGGTGAAGTATCAAGGAATATGTAAGATCTGACGGGCGTAACATCATGCTAAGTCGATATAAGGCAAACACTGGATGGGTAACCTGGCGGTCAACCTTATCCAGAGGTTAGGAAACCTCGGTAAACCTAAGAGGCTTCCTGTCTGATAGTGGTGTATCGTACTATATACGGGAAAGGCTTTATTGGAAGTGACTTATGTGGCGAGGGAAGTTGTCTGACAAGAGTGGAGAGGGAAGTGGACTGACAAGAGTGGAGAGGGAAGTGGACTGACAAGAGTGGAGAGGGAAGTGGTCTGACAAGAGTGGAGAGGGAAGTGGTCTGACAAGAGTGGAGAGGGAAGTTGTCTGACAAGAGTGGAGAGGGAAGTGGTCTGACAAGAGTGGAGAGGGAAGTGGACTGACAAGAGTGGAGAGGGAAGTGGACTGACAAGAGTGGAGAGGGAAGTGGACTGACAAGAGTGGAGAGGGAAGTGGACTGACAAGAGTGGAGAGGGAAGTGGACTGACAAGAGTGGAGAGGGAAGTGGACTGACAAGAGTGGAGAGGGAAGTGGACTGACAAGAGTGGAGAGGGAAGTGGACTGACAAGAGTGGAGAGGGAAGTGGTCTGACAAGAGTGGAGAGGGAAGTTGTCTGACAAGAGTGGAGAGGGAAGTTGTCTGACAAGAGTGGAGAGGGAAGTGGACTGACAAGAGTGGAGAGGGAAGTGGACTGACAAGAGTGGAGAGGGAAGTGGACTGACAAGAGTGGCGAGGTGAACTTGTAAGACTCGTGATAATGTGGGAGTGCAAGAGGGGAATATCAAAAAGTATATAACAGCATAATATGATTAAAGAGAAAATAACAATGATTAATTAAAGAACAAAATGTAAAAACAAATGAAGAGCAAAATGTAAGACAACAGGACAAACAACATACGAGTTAACAGCCTGAGAATACCTCACAAAGGAACAACAGGAAGGGTAAACAAGGCACTTGAATCACTCACCTTGAAGACGATGAAGGAGGCGGCGAGGGCGGCGGCTGTCTCAGAAGCCAGATCTGTTCCTGAGAGAAGCAAGGAGACAGAACTCCCTTTAACACGAGTGCCAATATCCTCTTAAATCACTCACATCGTCCAATAGATGAATGAATTAAGGTTATATATATGAAATTATAGGTACAGGAAGAGACCAAGCCCCAGCTGGGAAGACATCGAGGACATTGAACTTGAAAATTTAGGGTGAAGATGTCACAGTGCTTCAGTGATTGACTAACCTGGGTTCTGCTCGTCGATCTTGTAGGAAGGTCGCTCCATGGTCATGTACTCCGGTGCCCCCCACAGGCTGTGGTCAATTTCCCCATTCCCGACCTGAAAATCATGGTGATCTCCTGTATATATATATATATATATATATATATATATATATATATATATATATATATATATATATATATATATATATATATATATATATATATATATATATATATATATTTGTTTAGTACACATATATATTATAATAGACCAAGGAAAGTGAACTTTTTTGTGTTGCAGTAGTCAATTTGTGTACCTTCGACCAAAATATGCTGTAACTACTAACAGGTTGGATGACAGATTGCAACATTCAAAAGTCTGACCCAGTGTTAGTTTCAAGTCTAAAGTGTTAGATCCGTTGTTGTAAAAAGAGGACAAATTAATGTACGACCATAGTCTAGAGGTGACCATTGAGGGCGGCCTCACCTGCCCATAGAACTCGTCCGTGGCGGTGTGACACTTGAGGAAGTAGTCGGTGGCCCACCTGATCGCTGTCAGGACGTACTCAGTCTGACCTGTGAGGAAGACACGCAAGCCACTTGGATAAAAAATGTTAAATGAATCAAGGAAAGAATTCCTGGACTCATTTGTTCGGTGACACTGACTGGTGTAACTTGCTCTGGGCTTATTGTTTGATTTAGAGGCCACGACGGCAGTGGTGTATCAGATGTCGAGGCAAAAACGTGATGGCCCTTTCTGAACTTGTACCCAAATGGGTTAATGCGCAAAAATGACTTCCAGGCAAGCAAGAGCCAGACGCCCACCATGCCCCGAGCACACACTAGGAGCCCCGGCCGGCACCTTTCGGCAAAGCCGGCTTCGGCCACTGTCTCTCCGCTCACAGAACCAGCCGTTGAAAAGTTTATCAACGTCCCTATGATCCCAAGCGATAAGTGCGCCAGGTGTCGTAACAATCCGGACCGTTGAAGAGGAAAGTCTGACGGCAGTATCAACACCAAATGGGCAAAATCGCGTCACGTGTTGTCGCGGCCCCCAGGAGGAGCAAGTGATCAGACGTCCGCTCCTCAAGACTGCACTAGAAGACTGCCCTGGGCGCGTGTTGATGCTCCAGACGAAGGCTGTGTGGCGTCAGGATGCGAACCAGAATTATTGATGGTACACACCAGTCTCTGATGAAGCATTTGTGTCATGGACCTTCAAGTAACGCTATGGTGCTGTAATTGTCACCTAGTATCGGAAACGGGTTTATAATTATAGTACAAATTAGCTGATACCCCTCATTCTTGGCCTGCTTCTTCAGCCAACATCGGCAGCAGAGCAACTAATTGCGCCTCATCCTTCCCGGTTATATACTCCGTAGCTTCAATTTTTTTGAGATATATACAAGAGTTGTTACATTCTTGACAACTTCAAAATTAACTTCCTGCCTAACACTTAATGAAACTACGACGTTGCTACAACGTTCTAACAAGTTGTAACAACCCATATAACAAGTTGAAACAACTTTCTAAAAGTCATAAAACTTTACAACAAGATGTAACAACTTTGTTACAAGTTGTAACAAGGGAACAATAGGGACCGTTACGTTGTGTGTTTGCAGGGGGGGGTGTATATATCCACTTCTCCTTCGCCTCTGAAGATGCTTACAAGCTAAGAACATGCGAAATATAGAGAAGATTCGTGCTGGAGTCATTGATCTCATCCTTTTTGTCATATTCAGTAACATATGTATACATGAAAGACTGCTACCAAAATGTGTGTATATATATGTGGGCGTTCATATATATACATTAACACACATATTTACTCTGACATGCTGTCATAAGCCACAATAACCCTTTCCATTAACTGAGATGCGAGCACTATACAAAAATGGACGCGTTTAGGCATCCCAGCTTTAAATATATTCGGCCCACAATATAAACGAACGATGCTTGGATATTACTCAAAGAGAGAGAGAGAGAAGAGGCAATGCAAGAAATACAAAAAAGTGTCTTCCACAACCACTTGGGCTGGACGGTAAACCGACGTCCAGCCCAACCGCAAGTCCAGGTTCGTGCAGGTCGACATTCAATCCCCGACTGTCCAAGTGGTTCGACACTATTCCTTTTCCCCGTTCCATCCCAAATCCTTATCCTGACCCTTTCGAGTGCTATATCGTCGTAATAGCTTTGCGCTTTCTCTTAATAGTTCCCTTCCCTTCATTATTTACACGGGATAAGACTAACAGGCTTATAATAATATTTTCTGAATACAAAAATGTTACAGAACCAACAACAGGGAGAGAAGTGTCAGTACAGAGACTCACCGGCTGTACTGTAGCCGTCGGGGAACTCGATGAGGCCCCAAGACAACATGGTGGTGGTGAAGGCCATCGGGAAGCCGAACTTGACCAGGTCGCCGGCTGACGGAGGAGCAAGAAAAGATGACAGTGTTATTCACTATTCGCAGGAGTATGTGTGGGGTAATCACTGTAAATCAATATCTTTCTCTCTCCCTTACCGTCATAGTAGCCACCAGTGAGGTCGTGGCCCACATCAGAGCCGTCGTCCAGGGCTGAGTCGCCTCGCCAAGGGACGCGGTTGTCGTCCGGCAGAGGACCCGACCGCTGCGCCTCGTAGAACACGAACGACATGCACAGTGCCTGAGGGGAGTGAGGAGGTGGAGGTACAGTAGCTGAGGGGAGTGAGGAGGTGGAGGTACAGTGGATGAGGGGAGTGAGGAGGTGGAGGTACAGTGGCTGAGGGGAGAGAGGAGGTGGAGGTACTTGTAAGTGTTCAAATTACTGTAACAAGATGTTTCATTGCATTAGAGGTGGGGATGCACGTGACAATTATGCAAGTTATTCTAGATAAAATACTTATTCAATAGCCTATTAAAATTTCCTAGATATAATAAGTGAAAATCTCAGTAATCAGGGCATGGTAGCTGTGTGCAATAGCCAATGGGTGAGCCGCTAATTCCTAGTCCTACCTAGTGTCAGCGAGCTAACATATTTTATATAAGCCTCGCCCAACTTTGATGACCTAATGTGATAATCGACAGAACTGTTCCACAACCGGAGTGTATCTGTGGAAGCTTCCCTTTGCTGTAGTCATAGTGTCATGGATCAGGGAGTGGCACTCACCTGTTGTTGTCATAGGGTGTCATGTATCAGGAAGTGACACTTACCTGGCTGTAGTCATAGGGTGTCATGCCTGTTTCCGCACATGGGTTTGTGTCAGCTATGGCGGCATCTGTGGACGAGGAGAGTAATTGGTTGTGATGACAGTTAGTGAGGGTGAGTGTTGTTGGGGGTGGTGGAGGAGATTTAGTTAAATGGGGGAGTGAGGGAAAATATCCTTTCAATCACTTCTAAAATATACAATGCAAAGTAGACAATTTTTCAATGGGGGAATTCTTCATCAACAAATTTTCTCATTATAGATGAAAGTTTGGGAATTCTGGGTGGCCATGACAACATTGACCCCTGAAGATGTGCCGGGCGAGTATCCCACACAGGTGTTATCAGGGCGCCTTGTGTCACATCTCTCACAGTCTGGACAAGAATACGGTCCCATAATATTGGGAAAAATAATATGCTGTAACTTATAACAATTCAAGAAATCATATGAGACATGTAGAAAAGTTTGTCATTGAGAAAGCACTGCAATCGCCCGGGTTAAGTGCTCAGTAAAGTCATTATATGTAGTCTAACGTAACTCTAACACCGTCCATGGAGGACAGAAGAAAATTTATATATGCTGGTTACAATTGTAAATTGAAATTGAAATTGAAATAAGTTTATTGAGATATAAAACACACAAAGGGATGAGGTAGCTTAAGCTATTCTCACCCCGTTACAATTGTAAATGGAAGGCCATGTCGCTCCTCAAAGAATGAAGTCGAATCTGCAGAACGATCAGTATCTGATGATTGTAGACCACGACTTGACGAACCTGATGGTACTGTAGCCACCAGTGATGGGGTTAAGAACTTCTCCCCTTGCATGCAAGCAAGATGCAAGTTACTTAGAAGGTCCATTCTCTCCTAGTTTTTCCCTCCCTTTACCTATTCCCGCTGTTTTTCCGGTACTAAAGGCATGTGACTAGGCTGTCTCGTGCCTTACATCCTTTAAAAATGTGCACCTCTACTACTTGCAGCAACCAGAGCGCAACTCCATAGTCTCCCAAGACTGCAGGATGCCCACTACTGCTTGCAGCCGTCTTCCACCACCTATCTCAAGCTTGAATTGACCAGCAAACTTGGCCATTATTTGGGAAAACGACCAAGAGTGCTGCTGGAAAAACTTTGAAAAAGTTCTTGAGAATCGGATATGTGCTAGTCAGGCCAATTACATTTTGAAATATGTATTTTTATGCAACCATTAAAATTATAGTATTTGTTATTGTTAGTTGACAACATTGTTGAAATAGAGTTGAAGAATGCACGAGTGCAGCAGTTTAGTGGTTCGTATCAACACCTCAAGTAGAAAACTATCCTGATAATATGTTTTCGTTAAGTATCAGGCAATTTATTTTTAGATAAAAATAAAAGAAGCATTTCAGGACGGTTATTATAAAGGGTTTTAAAACTGGAACAAGAGTTTCGTCACTGGATAGGAGACATCTGCCAACATTGGACACTGCAGGAGCATACAGTACCTTAACACTTAAAGATATTTTATCTTAGGGATAACTTTAGCAAGTTTGTACTTCCCAGGAAAACAAAAAAATTATGTCTCGCTATTGTGAGACTAGAATGGTTTTTACAATCATCAATGAATATATCTAGTGTATAGCCTGATGGGAATCTGTCCTCTTCGTGACGTATAAGAGATGTTGCGTAAACTGTGCCTAATAATATAGTAGTTTCAAATTGTACCGCAGGTACAAATAAGTACAAAGTGCTGCTTACCCCGTCCTGACTGGAGGGTTTAGAAACACCAGTTTAGAAATTCTCGCACGCCACCAACCGGGAGTCGGCTGCCGGGTCACCGTAAACCCAGCCAGTGTTTACAAGGACCGGCTGATTTATTCGCATTTAAATTAAAAGACCGAAATACCTACTGCAATGGGATTCAGACACGTAAAGTGAAATAAGCACTTGGTCGATGTTTTGATGGTGAGCTGTGAGGAAACATCACCTGGCTTTAAATGGGTTTATTAGCAGATTCATTGGAAACTCGAGAGGACAGAGTGGACCTCTCTAGTCTGGCGGGTCACGGTAGTTTGACGTTAATGGTGGCGAGTGATAGTTGTGTTGTGGTGATCTTCTCAAGTGTTCGGTCACACCGCGTTATGAAGACTGGATGCTGTGGTATTTAAAAAATTGCGTGTTTGCACTAGCGTTGTGTCGATTTAGGGGCGAGTGTTATCACTAGCGTGTGGACCAGTAAATGAGAGTGTTGTGGTTTGCAGTTGCGAGTGTTTTTATTATTAATTTCGTGTCCAGCAAAATTCTGAAAGTGCATTGTGTAGAATACGCGAGACACTAAGATAGGACACGCTGCTACTAAGTATTAACGTGACTATATGTTAATTCTTAGAAAGTTTAGTGATTTACTAGAAGTAAAAGGTGGAAATTAGCTTTTATTGCTGTATCAAAATTACGCACTTGTTGGGTACTTTCAGTTCTTGCAGTGTTTCTCGTCTCGTAGTGGATATTTAATTATTTGTGAGTGATTCGTGAAAGTTGGAAACACTACTTTTGTTCGTGTTCACGAGCACGTCGGGAGGAGTGTTGACCCCCCCCCTTGTCTGACCCCACTACGGACAGCGCTGACCCCCTTGTCTGACCCCACTACGGACAGCGCTGACCTCCTTGTTTGACCCCACTACGGACAGCCCAATCCTCCTTCAGAAGAAGGTATGTATCACTTCGATCAACACGCGTCACCTCCACCTCCCGCCTCTTGCATACCAGCATGGAGAAGAATACAAATGAGACCATTCATGTTATATATGCGGTATATGATATATGCGGTATAATGTGTATATAGAAATTGCAATAGGTACATTAATGATTACTTTTTCTGTCATTACAGGTAAGGCTTTTTTAGCTCATCGCGGGACACAACTCCACCAGCTTAAGGTACGTTAATGTTGTCTTTCGTTGCCGATGAATTTGTTTCCACAAAACATTACAGAACACGCAGTTACCATGACATGAGTAAATATCATATAACTGACATTGGTCCTGGGGGGCGCCGAGGCCCCCCCCCTTTTGACTGGTCCTGGGGGGCGCCGAGCCACCCCCTCTTTTGACTGGTCCTGGGGGCGCCGAGTCACCCCCCCCCTTTTGACTGGATCTGGGGGCGCTGGTGAATGCTGGAAATAACGCTTTTGTGAACACTACTCAAGATATGATAGTGAGCACGTCGGGAGTAGTGTTGACGCTGACCCCCTTGTTTGACCCCACTACGGACAGCGCAACCATCCTTCAGGAGAAGGTAAGCACCACCTCGTTCCTCAAGTGTCACTCACGTCTCCGCCAACCAACATACCTACATGGAGACGGACGTGACCATTCATATGTTATATGTGGTATATGATTATAATGTGGAATTTCAGGAATTTCAAAAGGCATAATAATAATAATTACTTTTTCTGTCATTACAAGTAAGGCTTTTTTTTTAGCTCATCGTTGGGGACAACTCCTCCTGTTTAAGGTATGTTCTTGTTTTCTTTTGTTTCTGAGGATTTTTTTTTTGTTTCAACAAAATATTACGACAAGCAGTTACCATAATATAATTATGGGTAAATATCAAATCCCTGTCATTTGTCATAGGGGACCCGAGCTTCCCCTTTATTGGTCATGGGGGCGCCGAGGCCCCGCTCTTTATTGATCCTGAGGGCGCCAAGCTCACTTTTATTTTGCCTTGTCTATTCGACCGAGTAATTTCTAAGTTGAGATCATGTCCCTCCAGCTGTTGCCTTACTTCAATGACGTGAACTTCAGTTTTCTTCCCTTGCATGTTACTCCCTAAAATTCTGGTACCAGCCTGGTATTGTAGGGGGTGGGGAACAGCTCCGTGCTAGAGCTGCATAATATAAAGGGTCTGACGTTCGTGGTGTCCTGCTTTGTTAATATCAAAAGTTCAGATATCAAAGGTAGTGCTAATATTGATAGAGTTAGACATGATGTGAGCACTTGGTGGTCAATGTTGGTGCTTGTTCTTAAAGGTATGAGCAGTTTGTGGAAAAATAATTGTAATTTGGGAGGGAATTTGGGGAGGGAAATGTAAGGGCGGTTACTTGTTACTTGTGTATTAATATACTAACAGTATAGTTCATTAATGTACTGTGATTATCTAGCATTATAACAAACTGTCTATATAGAAAACGGGTTACAACCAACTAAGATTTACTGATTGGTTCTTATTCGTATGAGACAGTTGGGTGGAACACGAAGTGGATTTGTAAATGGCTCGGTGAACGTTGGAATTTTGGAGACTTTGTCAAATCATTACAGTTGTGGCAGGAGTGGAAACTTGAAAGTGTAAACAGTGATATTTAGTAACGCAGTCCACGCATGTTTTAAATGACAGTGACGTTACTGTGACTTATTTATTGCATTTATCTTCGTTTTACTTTATCTTTGGTAGTTAAAAAGTCACGGAAACAATAATTTATTATTACAAAGTGTGACATTTTGTAAGAGGGGGGGGGAGGGAGGGGGGGCAACATTTAATAAAACACCCAACGTGATTTACATGGAAACCGTATCTGTCTGTTTTATTTTACAATTAGTAAACAACGGGTATAATGCACTTTATAAGATGTACCTAAATTTTCAGAAAGATTTTCATGAGGTCCCTAAAAAAATTCCAAACTGACATGAAATAGTCAGCTGGGTACGTCGTGATCATGGCACTCACTTAACTTTGTTACGTGGTGTAGCCAGTGTGGTGAGGTCTAGTTTATTCTGATTTTCCTCGTATGTCAGTCCTATTAGCTCAGGGACCACTCTTGAAGAAAGCTGTTTGAGTTCCTTCAGGTGGAGATTCCACGCTGGGGCTGCATATTCCAGCACTGGTCTAACATGGGTCGTGTACAGTGTTGTGAAGGCTTCCTTGTCCAGGTGCCTGAAGACCACTATGTCCACCAGTTGTGCGTACGCCGCTGGTGCTCTCCTGTTAAGGTGTGGCTCTAGTGATAGACTTGGTGTTGTATCTTCTCTCAGGTCACTATTCCTTGACGACTCTAGCATGTGTGTGTGTGTGTGTGTGTGTGTGTGTGTGTGTGTGTGTGTGTGTGTGTGTGTGTGTGTGTGTGTGTGTGTGGGAGAAAGTGTAAATACGTACCTGTGGAGAGGAGGGCGAGGGCCCCCAGCAGGCAGGTCTTCACTAGGACGCCGGCAGCCATGATGGTGGTGGTCTGTGGTGCTCCTCGTCCCGACCTTTCCTCTTATATTCACCATAAAACACACACACACACACACACACACACCTCACATGTGGTTCTGTTCCACCTGGTCTTCCCTGTGTGTGTGCGTGCGCATCGTCTTCTAGCCCCGCCTTCCAAACATTCGCAGCTCAACAGAGGGGCTTCAGCTCATGGTTCTGCCTCTCTATCCAAACTGACTGGTGTGCAGGTTTCCGTACACATTGGTTCTGTCATATTTACACATATATATTTTATTTAACCTATGTATGGAGAGGTTTACCCACCTTCCCATCTACCTTACACAACCTGCTCACAACTCTCAGACTGTAGTGCTTCTGAGTGTCCCTGTGGCACATCAGAGCACTCTGGCCCTCTGGGGCTTCTGAGCGTCTCTGTGGCACATCAGAGCACTCTGGCCCTCTGTGGCTTCTGAGCGTCTCTGTGGCACATCAGAGCACTCTGGCCCTCTGTGGCTTCTGAGCGTCCCTGTGGCACATCAGAGCACTCTGGCCCTCTGTGGCTTCTGAGCGTCCCTGTGGCACATCAGAGCACTCTGGCCCTCTGTGGCTTCTGAGCGTCTCTGTGGCACATCAGAGTACTCTGGCCCTCTGTGGCTTCTGAGCGTCTCTGTGACACATCAGAGCACTCTGGCCCTCTGTGGCTTCTGAGTGTCTCTGTGGCACATCAGAGCACTCTGGCCCTCTGTGGCTTCTGAGCGTCCCTGTGGCACATCAGAGCACTCTGGCCCTCTGTGGCTTCTGAGCGTCTCTGTGGCACATCAGAGTACTCTGGCCCTCTGTGGCTTCTGAGCGTCTCTGTGGCACATCAGAGCACTCTGGCCCTCTGTGGCTTCTGAGCGTCTCTGTGGCACATCAGAGTACTCTGGCCCTCTGTGGCTTCTGAGCGTCTCTGTGACACATCAGAGCACTCTGGCCCTCTGTGGCTTCTGAGCGTCTCTGTGGCACATCAGAGCACTCTGGCCCTCTGTGGCTTCTGAGCGTCTCTGTGGCACATCAGAGCACTCTGGCCCTCTGTGGCTTCTGAGCGTCTCTGTGGCACATCAGAGCACTCTGGCCCTCTGTGGCTTCTGAGCGTCTCTGTGGCACATCAGAGCACTCTGGCCCTCTGTGGCTTCTGAGCGTCTCTGTGGCACATCAGAGCACTCTGGCCCTCTGTGGCTTCTGAGTGTCTCTGTGGCACATCAGAGCTTATTTGTTTATTACCCTTCTCGTGGCTCTCTAAGTTCACGGACGAGTTTTGCAGCAAAACATCTGGACCTTCTCCGTGATAGCTCAGGTGTGTGCAGGCGTTGACACATGTGGAGCGAGAGCCATGTGTGTCACCAAGGCTGGTGTGGGTGTGTTGACACATGTGGAGCGAGCTTACCGGTGAGAGAGTCCGGTACATCACCAAGACTGTAGATAAGCACATGCAGGTGCACGTGGTTCTTCCCACTGCCCATCACCACTCAGGTCGATGTGTACACCTTCCTCCTCCACTAGCAATGCCCTCTCTTCCCCTACACACACACATACACACACACACACACAGGTTGAGAGGCGGGACCAAAGAGCCAGAGCTCAACCCCCGCAAACACAACTAGGTGAGTACAACTAGGTGAGTACAGGGAACACCTGTGTGCGTGTGAAAAAAAAAAAATATATATATATATATATATATATATATATATATATATATATATATATATATATATATATATATATATATATATATATATATATATATATATATATGTCGTACCTAGTAGCCAGAACGCACTTCTCAGCCTACTATGCAAGGCCCGATTTGCCTAATAAGCCAAGTTTTCCTGAATTAATATATTTTCTCTAATTTTTTTCTTATGAAATGATAAAGCTACCCATTTCTTTATATATGGGGTCAACTTTTTTTTATTGAAGTAAAAATTAACGTAGATATATGACCAAACCTAACCAACCCTACCTAACCTAACCTAACCTACCTTTAGAGGTTAGGTTAGGTAGCAGAAAAAGTTAGGTTAGGTAGGTTAGGTAGTCGAAAAACAATTATTTCATGAAAACTTGGCTTATTAGGCAAATTGGGCCTTGCATAGTGGGCTGAGAAGTGCGTTCTGGCTACTAGGTACGACATATATATATATATATATATATATATATATATATATATATATATATATATATATATATATATATATATATATATATATATTGTGACGGTAACGCGTTGGTGTTCGGCTGTTTAAGGCTAGGGGTATGGCCTCGTCACATAGTTATAAAAAAAAATAGAAAAAACTGGAACTTCGTCTGTGGTAAGGTAAGGAGAAGACACACAAAACACAAGTAAACTTTAACAATGAAATTTTAATTACGTTAATTAAATCAAAACATGAATAAAATGCACAAACAAATTCTTATAATAAAATCAATCAAAATAATAAGAATACTTAAATGACACAATGAAAAGTTACGTTAAGACAAAATAACAAGAAGTGCAATATACAAGTAAATGGGAGGTGCTGGAATATTGGCTTAAGCTACCACTTCCCTCAGTACACGCTAGCGTCTAGCCGGGAGGAGTGGTAACAACGAGAGCACTGAACATTCTGAGGTAGGAGGTTGGGGCGACCCCAGACATCAAGTAGTATGGGGGGGCGAGTGCAGGTGCAGCCAGACCGGCGACCAATCAGCGGAGCCGGTAGCGATCAACATGTAGTTTGGTGGTTTGAGTCCGAACAGGTGGCTGGCTGCATATGTTTTGCTCACCCTGGCAAGCCTTGCTGGTGTTGTTGTTGTTGTTGGACATGTCTTCCATAGTCGTTTTATATAATTTCAACGACGTGTTTGTGGAGGGAAGAGCAGGCTCAATCTCTTGAAGGAGATTATTGTCACAATATATATATATATATATATATATATATATATATATATATATATATACCGTTTTCTTGACGTTGGGAAACCTTAGGAGGGCGGGCTGGGCTGGCAGCATCAAGAACAGTGTTCGCGGCCAATGTTTATGTACAAAACTTACTGCGGTTCATTTTACACTACACAGTATGACCTACTTGAGATATTTTTTTTGTTTAATATATAGACTGTTAAAACATCAACTAATATAATAATTTGTATTTGAACTCAGACGTGGAACAAATTGTCAAAGCATGACTGATAGTGAGCCCTGGCATCCAGTTAAGAGGGATAGTTTGGTAAAAGGCTGATTCATTCATTCCTGCTAACGACGCTTTTCGGGACATTATATAGTAATTTTTTTTAAGAATAGGCTGTTAGAATAGGCTGACTATAGTCACTTTGGGAATAAATTGGAAATTCTATCATTCATAACATACCCGGAAATATCACACCCTAAGTTAACCCATCTAATATTAACCATAACTTCTACAGAGCCTAATTCGGGAAGAAAATGATGGACACTGCAGTTAACAACAACATTGGAGACATGAAGGGAAGACAAATTAAAGATAATGATGTTAAAGAACAAATAAAACGAGTACTTTTTTTATTGCATAGCGTTTATTAAATTTTCAGCGAGATGACACTTAAGTTCGGTCTAATACTTTTACATTAGGAATTAAGGAAAGCTTGAGTAGAAGATAACATGGAGAGGAAACAGAGGACGAGAAATGCAGAGGCATGAGGAGGAGGAAAGAGAAAGAGAAATAGAGAGATACCAATTAAGGTTACAGAGAGAGCTACGTGGTTTGGCAGGTGGTCACGGAACTACGGAACGAGCTATTCACTACTCAGCTCGACCAAGGCGGCGAGGGCACCGCTGTAGGCGGCGTTGAAGTCGCAGGCCACCTGGTTCTGCTGGCTGTCCTGGCGGTCGTCCACGTATTCGCCGTCCTGAGGGCGGCAGAGGAGGTGGTGAGCCAGTTAGAAGTGAGAGAACAAGATCACTGGACGGGGCTTGTACGTAGCCTTCAGTATATTGGTTCACGGGGAGGGAGGCGGTATGATATTGTGGGGGAGAGGGGGGGGTATGGGCAGGCGTGTATGGGTAGTAAACTTAGAACGTGGGCGGCATTGGCTGAATAAGGTGATGCTTCACAAATGTTACAAGTTTACTATTCTGAAGGAGAGACCTGTACATAGCGATTGATTCACCAGAGTGAATAGGTGTAGAAACTATTAAAATAATTATTGATCAGATCAGGTAATCCTGCAGGTCGCAAGGAGCACATGTTTGTGACCGTCTCGAGGAGGCAAGGCGTCACTCACCTCTGCTGGTCCGCCGACGAGGGCGCCGTACAGCACGTGCGGGTTGGGACCCGTCTGGGAGTACGCCCACCCGAAGTCGCACACCTCCGGGGGCTCCGGACACGAGCTGAGGAACACAAAAAATTCATGTTAGAAAACGGCATTTCTCACATTTGTAAATCGTTGTAAAAAAAAACCTCATGTCTCAGCTCTACTCTTTCTTAATACAAGTGTGAGGATATTCTCTATCTCCGCTCATCACGGAACAAAAATACAACCATTTTGTTTAAATAATATTTGGATTAAAAAATAGTGAAGAAAAAGTAGTGGACGTATGTGTATGTGGTCACCTGGCGTTTCGCGAGCACTTTGTCCTGGGTTCGTATCCTGGCCGGGGGAGGATTTACTGGGCGTCAATCTTTAACTGTAGCCTCTGTTTTCCCAACAGTAAAATGGGTACTTGATTGTTAAACGATTTGGCGGGTCGTATTCCGGGGAACATAGGATTAAGGACCTTCCCGAAACTGTATGCGTGCTAGTGGCTGTACAAGAATGTAACAACTCTTGTTTAAACAAAAAATCTAAATGTGCTTGCAAGTTGAGCATCAGCTCCCGGGCCCAGTGTTAGTCTCCGGACGCCTTCGCTTGAAACTGTTTGGAGTTATGTATGCATTTTCTCTCTCTCTCTCTCTCTCTCTCTCTCTCTCTCTCTCTCTCTCTCTCTCTCTCTCTCTCTCTCTCTCTCTCTCTCTCTCTCTCTCTCTCTCTCTCTCTCCTTTTTCATTCAATCCATGCCTTCTCGTCCTACATCGGCACCTGACAGACTTAGCTTTGTAAAATTTGTCAATGCTTCTAAGAATCTTATATGTTGTGATTATGTCACATCTGCCTTTTCTCTTTTTCAAACGTCCGGTAATCTAATTCCTCAAAATTTTGCGTTCTAAATACAGAACCATCTTGGGATTGTAACAAATCTCAAAGCTTCCTAACGTTTAGAATCGCTTTCCAGTTGTTTAATAGTCTAACCTCTCCATCGAAACATTCTAGATTATCGTAAGAGATTTTCTCAGTTTAGGCAACCTTATTCAGACATACTTAGTAACTTGGCAACTATGTTTGAATCTGACTACTTCATCGCTCACTAACAATTTCCTGTTGGTGTTATTGTGTAATAATTTCGGTTGTTTATGTTACCGTTATCAGTGTGTGTGTGTGTACTCACCTAGTTGTGCTTGCGGGGGATGAGCTTTGGTTCTTTGGTCCCGCCTTTCAACTGTCAATCGATTGGTGTACAAATTCTGGAGCCTACTGGACTCTTATCATATCTACATTTGAAACTGTGTATGGAGTCAGCCTCCACCACATCACTGCCTAATGTATTCCATTTGTTAACTACTCTGACACTGAAAAAAATATTTTTAATGTCTCTGTGGCTCAATTGGGTACTAAGTTTCACACCTGTGTCGCCTCGTGTTCCTCCCGGCGCGCGCGCGTGTGCTCTCCTAATTGCGCTTGCGGGAGTTGAGCTTTGGCTCTTTGGTCCCGCCTCTCAACTGTCAATCAACTGGTGTACAGATTCCTGAGCCTACTGGGCTCTAAAACTTAGACACGTGTGTGTGTGTGTGTGTGTGTGTGTGTGTGTGTGTGTGTGCGTGCGTGTGCGTGTGCGAGTGCGTGTGCGTGTGTGTGTGTGTGTGTGTGTGTGTGTGTGTGTGTGTGTGTGTGTGTGTGTGTGTGTGTGTGCACCTGGATGCATGGTGGGGCCTCTCAGGGTACTTCTCTCCGAAGCCGACGACGAAGGACATATTGTAGCGGGAGTTGTCGCCCAGGAGCAGATCAATCTGTTCCGCCGCCCAGTCGTTGTTCACGTCCGTGTCAACGCCGTATTTGGCAGCCTTTAAAACAGAAGAGAAACAAACCATTAACGCAAATACTGAATAGACTTGCTGCAGACACTAATGGTGAAATATTGAGTGACTCTTATTACAAATTTTTGTCACTGCATCAAGCTATTAGTGGTAGATAAATACACACAGATATATAAAAATTACGTACAAGATAATTGAAAACATAGTTTAGGTCGATCAAACGCTAGAGGGCTTCAGTTCAGTATAGTATCAGTATCAGTTCAGTATAGTGAAGTGTGGTATCAATATAGTATAGTACCAGTTTAATAATAGCAAAAAATGGTTGCATTGGTGGAGGGCTGAAGGCCTATGTTGAGAGTATCCAGGTAAAATCAAGGGAACTGCTGACCCAGAGGTGGAGGAAGGCAACATTAGCGGCGTGTCTGTTGGGGCCCCACTCGTCGAGGTAGACCAGGCCCTCCGGGGTGTACGTGGCCGTATTTTTCAGCCAGTCGAGGTAGGTGTTAAGCTGGTTCAGAGCGACGTCGTAGTCGTCCAGCTGCCAGTAGAGCGCCTGTGGAAGGCAGACGCGTTGACATTAGTATTGTAGCAATGACCTCTGCTTCTCACACAGCCTCAGGGGCATGGGAGGGTAGAGGAGCAGATGATTTCTGACTTTCGATATTTGGCTGGGAACTTTCCCTACCTTACAACCCATTTTAAGACTTACCCTACTTATTTCCCTTAAAACGCGACCCGCCAGTCGGATTACAACGAGGGCCCGAATTACTATTGGGTAAATAGGGGTGAACAGTTAAGGATTGGTGCCCAATCGTCCATCCATATCCGGGGCTCGATATCGCTCCCGACATGCAAGGTGAGGGCTGTATCTGCAACACAACGACACAATAGTTCTTGTATAGTTGTGTTGTTACCGTAGAGATGACTACTGACTAGAGATGACTACTGACTAGAGATGACTACTGACTAGAGATGACTACTGACTAGAGATGACTACTGACTACTGGAATGTTTAAAACTTGTAGTCAGTACAAACATCGCAGCTTTAGGAACCTCGTATTTATATATTTAACTGTTCAAACTTCCACTTGTTTGATCGTTTACTTTTTACTGCTGTCAATATTATTAAATGATGTTTTCCAAGTGTATTTTCCAAATTATTTGTTTGAAAACGATTTAGAATTAAAATATCAATACAGTCCACACCAAGGCCAGGTTCGCTAACAAGGTTAGCGAATCTTGGGAACCTATTTCAAGGTTAACTTTGAAGATTTTCTCGTATTTTCGTAACATTCAAGAACATCAATTTATTAATTTCCAACCATGCAATGAAACAGGTACACCAAGGACAGGTGTCAGCTTAACAAGTAACATATTTTAAATGAAACTCTGAATGTACAAAGTGTGTGTCGTATCACTAGTGGCACAAGTACAGTTTTTGCATTTACAGCAGGAGGCCTGGTCGGGGACCGGGCCGCGGGGACGTTGAGCCCCGAAATCATTGCAAGGTGATGTAGCTTACGGTTAGGTAACTTACTGATATATAATGAATAAGTAGATATATATAATGAAGTAAGTAGCTTACTTACTGATATATAAAAAATAGGACAGTAAGTAGCTGTTGGTCCTGCTGTAGAACCGACAGATCAACTGGACCTTGTATTTTTAGAGACCAAGATGTAAGCCTAAAAATTTCACTTGAACTAGACGGTAGATCGACAGTCTCGCTTCTCGCAAGTCGGAGTTCAATCCCCGACCGTCCAAGTGGTTAAAGTCTTTTAAAGTCCAATGAAACTCACGTAAACTCCGGCTTTCTTGTCGTCCCACGAGAACTGGCGCGCCGCTGAGTACTGGAAGGCGAACTCGTAGTAGAGTTCAGCGGCGTGGGTGATGTAGGTTTGTTCTTCCGTGGCCTTCGCCAGCCACAACGCGGCCCAGATCAGCTCATCCTCGTACCCGCTCCACGAGCTGTGGAGAAGCTGGCATTGTAGCAGCTGCGGGGGAAGCTTTACGATGGCTAAGCTGTGTTATCGGAAAAGCTTTGTTATTGTCTGGAGGTGGGTATGTCGTGGTGCCTGTCTGTTGTAGCACGGAAGTGACTGTGATATGGTACTAGACTGGTCGTTTTGTGTTTCTCATGTGAACTGTGGAGTGGTAGTTCGTTCCCAGCTGTAGCTTCCCGCTGGTTCATGCTCCTCCCTCCCTCCAGCTGCGACCTTCCTCCCTCCCTTATGTATGTCCCCCTCCCCTATTTCATGTCGTTTCCCCTGGTGTATGTCCCACTCTTTACTGGCGCACATTCCTTCCCTCATTAAGTGTCTCAGGAACTCACTGGTAAAAGTCGGCGGCGTCGGTGATGGACACGTCGTAGTTCTCCCTGAAGTTGTTGGCGAAGTCGAAGAGTTCCTCGGCCACGTCGAGGAGCTGTGCGGCGTACTCCGAGTCCAGATCCTGGCGAGGAACGTGGCGAGGTGAGAGAAGTAGCGAGAAAACAGTGGCGAGTGAGGCATTTGTGGCGACGGAGAAGACAAGCCGAGAATGGCATAGCGATTTTAGTGTCACAGTGCCAAAGGAAAATAGTGAAATATTCTCCAGGCAAGCCATCGGAGAACAAGACCCAAGAGACAGAATAATAGAAGTGAAACGGTAAAGACAACAGGAAAATCAAAAGGACGAACAGCAACAACAGGGGGGGGGGGGCAATAACTGAGTCAAACGCAACATCAACAGTAATAACAGGAAGGACATGGCAGCAGAGTCAATAGGAAAGAACAAGACAGTATTAGGGACAACATGGATACTATTAAGAACAACTTGTTCAGCATTAAGGATGATAGGGATAGTTGTAGGGGCAATAGGAACAGTAGTAGGGACAAAAGTAGCAGTAGGAGGCACAACAAGGTAGCGGGAAAGTAACAGCAACAGGTAGAACAAAATAAGGATGAGAGACAGTGGAATGCTAATAGCAAAGAGTAGTGTAAAAGGACGTCACCCAGAAGAACACGAGAGAACAACAGGAAGGAACGACACGAAAGAACAGCATGAAGAACACGAGAGAACAACAGGAAGGAACGACACGAAAGAACAGCATGAAGAACATGAGAGAACAACAGGAAGGAACGACACGAAAGAACAGCACGAAGCGATGGCCCGAAGGGACCCCAGGAAGAACGTGAGAGGGGCTCAAGGAACAAGGGCTCCTCACCTTGAAGACGATGGAGGCGGCGGCGAGGGCGGCGGCCGTCTCGGCTGCCAACTCTGAACCTGAGGATGAGGAGACAAGACAACTTGAGAGGAGACAAACTAATTAACGCCCGCTTGAGGGGCAGGACGCTCTCAAGTCACGTGTATAATGAGAGTCTTTATAGAGAAACTTCTCAAGATATTAACCTCAGGAGGTTGATGGCACTTCCGAGCAATGCAGAGAAGCCTGACTGCTTGACTGAGTGACTGGCAGACTGGGTGTGTGACTGAGTGACTGGCTGACTTACCTGGGTTGTCTTCGTCGATCTTGTAGGAAGGTCGCTCCATGGTCATTTCCTCAGGGCGGCCCCAGTAGCTGTGATCAATGTGGCCGTTACCAACCTGCAGAGTGCCCCAGAAAGCTCTACAATATTTCAGTAACTAATTAAATAAGTGAGGTCAATTTTAAGGTTTTGGGCTTAATGTATACTATTTTTTTTTAGTAAATACAAGTAATTTTTACTATATTTATTTTAGTATTAAGTAACCACATACATTTATGTTCCAATTTAATATGGAGACATTTTGGAAGTCTTGGAATGTTTAAAACTAATTGAAAATAAATAAAATGCATAAATTAGTGAAACTAGAAACGTAGAAACAGTTCTCGAACCTCAATGATAAAAAAAAAAAACAATTAGAGGTTCGATTTTCAACCCGTTCTCACGAGCGCTCCCAACGTCAAGAAACTATCGTACTAAAAAGCCTTATCTTAACCTACCAGAGGACCCACGGACAGAAAACGAGACATTTATGTCAATTTCGCGAGCCGCTACCATTAAGTAAAGTATACCATGGCCTTGGATAAAGTATACATCAAAATTTCGACGTACTATAGAGAGAACAGGTTGCGATTTTTTGAAGGCGTCTTGGTGACTCCATTCTTAAACGCATTTCTATGCTGCCCGTCCTCTCGAGTTGCCACAACGGACGGAAAATGTGCTACTTAAACACCTCCAACCTGACCAAGCGACTCACTCATAGAAAACGTGAATGTTTGTGAGTTGCTGTCATTTATAGTACATCATATTTTCTCTGTTGGAGATTTTGACGTCAAAATGCGATATATATATTTTCGAGAGAAGAAGCTGTCCAGTAAGTCACATATCTGCCTATTAAGAGCTGTACTGTACATACAGTACAGCTGTACTGTTGTAAGCTGTACTGCACACATAAACGAAAATTTAAAGATTCCTGAATTCACTTGCATCATGTAAGGATATTTGAGTGTGTAATGGGTGTAATTAATGGTTAGGGGTTTTTGATAAATTTGTATAATTTCAAGATGTCGTGGTCCAAGGGATAAGTCGCGCGTCTGGGGTTACCCAGGACGATGGTTCGATTCCCCATCCTGCTTCAAGGATTATCTTATAAATATATCACGATATTGTGACTTCCTTGTGAATTCCAAGATTTTTTTTGAAGCCACGCCTACTTTGAACACACAACGATGACTCTTAAGATGGTCCTGTTTCTTTATAAAATTTTTGTTGTTTTTGTTGTACCAAATATATTTGCATTCGGTTTGACAACAATTTTAAATAAACTGAAAAAAATAGCGAGAGGAAAACAACAGATTTCTCTGGTGCACAGACCCATAAAAAGAAAAGCAGGCCTTTGTAACAGGCCTTTTTTTATAGCATGGAAAGATAACCAAAATAGTTTTTTGTCTTTCCCAGACTCAATAGAGCCCTACACTGGCACTATACTGCTGGCACTCAGAGTACAACACGCAGCCTCACCTGGCCCCAGAACTCGTCCGTGGAGTTGTAACACTTGAGGAAGTAGTCGGTGGCCCACTTGATCGCTGCCTGGGCGTACTCAGTCTGCCCTGTGAGGAAGACACGCAGGCAAGGATAAGAACAACATGAGGGAGTTTAGACGCGCCACTTAAGCATCATTCCAGGTTCCCAAAGCCTGGCGTACGGCTGTGTGGTGGTGTTGGAAGGAGTAGAGATTAGGCTCTTTGGCTCCTTGGCTCATTGGCCAGTTGATTCAATACTTATTGATAGCGAGAACTTCATGGTTTAGAAAAACCATTGTTGTACGCTTCCATGGGTAATTTTATGTTAGAATATAACTATGGGTAAAGAAAATATTGCTCACCCTAAAGTCATAATATTCAGAAAACAAATCAGTTCAATGGGATGATGACCAGAAAATTCCTAATGAAACAAAGTTATTTGTTGTATTTCTGTGTATGGTAAACCTATTTCTCCTCGGTGGTCGTAGTCTCGACCTTTAATACTGCAACTCGGTCCACCGCGAAGACGATAAATTATTATTCGATACAAAGGAGCAGAGGTGTAGCTAACTCACCGGCTGTACTGTAGCCGTCGGGGAACTCGATGAGGCCCCAAGACAACATGGTGGTGGTGAAGGCCATCGGGAAGCCGAACTTGACAAAGTCACCAGCTACGGCAGGAGGAAGAAGATGAATGTTACTCAGGACAAAAGGGATGAGTGTTACTCAATGTCCATAGGTGAGCGTGGGTTAATTAATATGTCTATCTCTGTCTGTCTGTCTCTCTCTCTCTCTCTCTCTCTCTCTCTCTCTCTCTCTCTCTCTCTCTCTCTCTCTCTCTCTCTCTCTCTCTCTCTCTCTCTCTCTCTCTCTCTCCCTTACCGTCATAGTAGCCACCAGTGAGGTCTTGGCCCACATCAGAGCCGTCGTCCAGGGCTGAGTCGCCTCGCCAAGGGACGCGGTTGTCGTCCGGCAGAGGACCCGACCGCTGCGCCTCGTAGAACACGAACGACATGCACAGTGCCTGAGGGGAGTGAGGAGGTGGAGGTACAGTGCCTGAGGGGAGTGAGGAGGTGGAGGTACAGCGGCTGAGGGGAGTGAGGAGGTGGAGGTACAGTAGCTGAGGGGAGTGAGGAGGTGGAGGTACAGTGCCTGAGGGGAGTGAGGAGGTGGAGGTACAGTGGCTGAGGAGAGTGAGGAGGTGGACGTACAGTGGCTGAGGGGAGTGAGGAGGTGGAGGTACAGTGGCTGAGGAGAGTGAGGAGGTGGACGTACAGTGGCTGAGGGGAGTGAGGAGGTGGAGGTACAGTGGCTGAGGAGAGTGAGGAGGTGGAGGTACAGCGGCTGAGGGGAGTGAGGAGATGAAGGTACAGTGGCTGAGGGGAGTGAGGAGGTGGAGGTACAGTAACTGAGGTGAGTGTGCAGGTGGTGGTGATAACTTAAGAGAGTGGGGGCAAAGGAAGGAAAAGATGGTGAGGTCAGGTGTGAGAGATGAGTCAATTAAACATTAAAATGAATGAAACTTTCATGTGTGTCATGTGTCAGAGAGTGACACTCACCTGGCTGTAGTCATAGGGTGTCATGCCTGTTTCCGCACACGGGTTCGTGTCAGCTACGACGGTATCTGTGGACGAGGAGAGTAATTGGTGAGGTGATGATTGAGATAGTGAGGGAGAGAGAGATGAAGGTGGTGACGAAGATAGTGAAAAAGGGAGGTGAAGGTGGCGACAAAGATAATGGAGGGAGGTGAAAATGGTGACGAAGATAGTGAATGGACAAGAATGGTTAACTCACGAGAGCGCATGGGGAGAAGAACAGATAAGCGAAGACCTTGTCAAAAAACCAAGGTTATCTTCCGTGATATCTAAACTAAACAACTGCTATAAATATGTGCACAGTTGAGATTATGTGAGAACAGCAACAGTAGCAACAGGTGTCTGAGTCCCATCTCAGGTGACGTCCGCTCTCTCCTCTCACCCTGGTTACTGCCACAGATAACTCCACCCAGACCTTCACCTTGTCAGTTTCTTAAGGAAGATCCAAAACGCTGGTTCGAATCCCTGGAGTGCTCCAGGAATTTTCGCATAAGGATATCACGCTTTCACGTAATTGTGATTTCCTAATGCGTCATTGATATTAATAATAAAAATAATAATTTTATGACAACAAATATTAATAGCAGAAATTATAAAAAAAAAAAAACAATAGGAACTGGTTTTCAAAATAAATAACTAGAATTACTGATGTATAAAAGTAATATTAACGCTACTACTTATACCAAATGTTATTATATTAAGAACACAACTAACATTAAAAATTATTCAAATTAATAACAGCGCTGAAATGTGTGTGCTCGCCTAGTTGTGTACACTTGTATTTACTATTTGGCCCTGCAGGCTCGAGCTGTTAGCTCCTGGGCCCTGCCTTTCTATGATAGATGAACGTAGGCATCAGGTTAAAGAAACTCTGCCTATTTCTTTCTGCCTCGGCATGGATTCAAACCCCGGCCCTTTGGATTACGAGTACCGAGACCTGTACGCTCGGCCGCGAGGACCTGTGCTTGCGTGTTTACATCTAAACTCACCTAAGTGTGCTTGTGGGGGGTCAGGGTTCCAGCTTCTTGACACTGCCATTCAACATTTAATCAGCAGACATAATAGTTTCCTGATATCCTTTGTGGATTATGTCGTATCTTCCTTAATGCTTCTGTGTACGGAGTCCCTCCACCCGTGTCCTGGAGTCTACCTCCTCCACCAGTTTACTTCCAAGTTTACTCCACTATCATGACACAGTGAAATTGTAATATGCACCTCTCGCTCATGTGGAGATTTTCTCTTCAGTTGCATCCCCTCTGTTTATGTGAACTTTACCAATTATAAGAATGTTGTTATGTCGTGATCATGTCTTCTTTACTTCTCTTCTCCTAGAACATGTATCTGTGTGAGTGTGAGAGTGGGAGTGCGTACCTGTGGAGAGGAGGGCGAGGGCCCCCAGCAGGCAGGTCTTCACCAGGACGCCGGCAGCCATGATGGTGGTGGTCTATGGTGCTCCTCGTCCTCACCTTCCCTCTTATATACCACACACACACACACGCCCCCTCACGTGTGTATCTGTTCCACCTGGTGTTCCCTGTGTGTGTGTGTGTGTGTGTGTTTGCGTGTTTGTGTGTGTGTGTGTGTGTGTGTGTGTGTGTGTGTGTGTGTGTGTGTGTGTGTGTGTGTGTGTGTGTGTGTGTGTGTGTGTACGTGTTGAATTCAGGTGGTGGGAGTGATTGCAGTAAAGAGAGGCAAATACGAAGGTTGTTGGAGAGTCTATTCAGGTGATATCTTCCCACTGTTCACTTCTTTGCAACATACGCACCGCTGCATACACACACGCACACACACACACACACACACGCACACACACACACACACACACACACACACACACACACACACACACACACACACACACACACACACACACACACAAACACGCAAACACAGGCGGGGGGGGGGGAATTGTGTATAGACGTCTTCCAGAGGGTATAGAATCATTCCTCTCAATCTTTGCTGATGATGCTAAAATTATGAGAAGGATTAATACAAAGGAGGAGAGCATGAGGTTACTAGATGACCTGGACAAACCGGAAGAATGGTTCAACAAACGGCTATTACAGTTTAACTCCTAAAGTAATGAATATAGGTGTAGGTATCTGGAGGCCAGATAAAATGTCCCATTTAGGGGATACAATCCTTCAAGAATTAGGGAGAGAGGAAGATTTGGGGGTTGATATCACGCCAGACCTGTCCATCGAAACCCACATCAGAAGGATACAACCCGTTCTCGCAAATTCGTAAAGTCAATATTGACTTATTAACTACGTGCATAGGTGATATACTAAACATAATAGATACCCTTAAAAAGATTCATAGAAAACGCCGACCTTACCTAACCTTGTTAGTATCTTAAGATAAGCATCTTATTGCTTCGTAATTACAATTATTACTTAACCTATACCTATTATAGGTTAGGTAATAATTGTAATTACGAAGCAATAAGATGCTTATCTTAACATACTAAGTAGGTTAGGTAAGGTCGGTGTTTTCTATGAATCTTTTTAAGGGTATCTATTATGTTAAGTATGTCACCTATGCACATATTTAATAAGTCAATATTGACTTATTAAATTTGCGAGAACGGGTTGAAGGATATCATCAGCGGTATATGCCAGGTTGGCCAACATAAGAACGCACTTTAGAATCTTGTGTAAGGATTCATTCAGAAATTTATATACCACATATGTCAGACCAAATATATATATATGTATATATATATATGTACATATATATATATATATATATATATATATATATAAATATATATATATATATATATATATATATATATATATATATATATATATATATATATATATATATATATATATATATATATATGTCGTACCTAGTAGCCAGAACGCACTTCTCAGCCTACTATGCAAGGCCCGATTTGCCTAATAAGCCAAGTTTTCATGAAATAATGTTTTTTTTGACTACCTAACCTACCTAACCTAACCTAACCTAACTTTTTCGGTTACCCAACCTAACCTAACCAATAAAGATAGGTTAGGTTAGGTTAGGTAGGGTTGGTTAGGTTCGGTCATATATCTACGTTAATTTTAACTCCAATAAAAAAAAATTGACCTCATACATAATGAAATGGGTAGCTTTATCATTTCATAAGAAAAAAAATTGAGAAAATATAATAATTCAGGAAAACTTGGCTTATTAGGCAAATCGGGCCCTGCATAGTAGGCTGAGAAGTGCGTTCTGGCTACTAGGTACGACATATATATATATATATATATATATATATATATATATATATATATATATATATATATGTCTGAGGGGAATGAACTACACGGAGAGATTACTGGAACTAAATCTCACGTCACCGTCACTGGAAGGCAGTAGAGTTAGGGGAGACATGATCACCATATACAAGATACTCATATAAATTTATAGGTTAGATGACAGAATATATACCACAGGAGGCACACGCACTAGCGGACCCAGGTGGAAATATCTGGACATTTGTACCCAAATGAGCTATAGGAATAGAAAGAACTTTTCTAGTGTCAGAGTAGTTAACAAATGGAATGCATTAGGCAGTGATGTGGTGGAGGCTGACTCCATTCACAGTTTCTAATGTAGATATGATAGAGCCCAATAGGCTCAGGAATCTGTACACCAGTTGATTGACAGTTGAGAGGCGGGACCAAACAGCCGAGACTCAACCCCTGTCAGCACAACTAGGTTAGTACAACTAGGTGAGCACACATTTATAGATATCATGCCGACCATAAGGGGAAATGAAGAGGTTTAGTTATCACGCGGATACCTGACCCACTATTGTGGGTCCTCAGGGGGCACTAGTGTGGGTCCTCAGGGGCACTAGTGTGGGTACTCATGGGGCACTAGTGTGGGTACTCATGGGGCACTAGTGTGGGTCCTCAGGGGGCACTAGTGTGGGTACTCATGGGGCACTAGTGTGGGTCCTCAGGGGCACTAGTGTGGGTACTCATGGGGCACTAGTGTGGGTCCTCAGGGGGCACTAGTGTGGGTCCTCAGGGGGCACTAGTGTGGGTCCTCATGGGGCACTAGTGTGGGTCCTCAGGGGGTACTAGTGTGGGTCCTCAGGGGCACTAGTGTGGGTACTCAGGGGGCACTAGTGTGGGTACTCATGGGGCACTAGTGTGGGTCCTCAGGGGGCACTAGTGTGGGTACTCATGGGGCACTAGTGTGGGTCCTCAGGGGCACTAGTGTGGGTACTCATGGGGCACTAGTGTGTGTCCTCAGGGGGCACTAGTGTGGGTCCTCAGGGGGCACTAGTGTGGGTCCTCATGGGGCACTAGTGTGGGTCCTCAGGGGCACTAGTGTGGGTACTCATGGGGCACTAGTGTGGGTCCTCATGGGGCACTAGTGTGGGTCCTCATGGGGCACTAGTGTGGGTACTCATGGGGCACTAGTGTGGGTCCTCAGGGGGCACTAGTGTGGGTACTCATGGGGCACTAGTGTGGGTCCTCAGGGGCACTAGTGTGGGTACTCATGGGGCACTAGTGTGGGTACTCATGGGGCACTAGTGTGGGTCCTCATGGGGCACTAGTGTGGGTCCTCATGGGGCACTAGTGTGGGTCCTCAGAGAGCACTAGTGAGGGTCCCCAGAGAGCACTAGTGAGGGTCCCCAGAGAGCACTAGTGTGGGTTCTCAGAGAGCACTAGTGAGGGTCCTCAGAGAGCACTAGTGTGGGTCCCCAGAGAGCACTAGTGTGGGTCCTCAGAGAGCGCTAGTGAGGGTCCTCAGAGAGCACTAGTGAGGGTCCTCAGAGAGCACTAGTGAGGGTCCTCAGAGAGCACTAGTGAGGGTCCTCAGGGGACACTAGTGTGGGTCCTCAGAGAGCACTAGTGTGGGTCCTCAGAGAGCGCTAGTGAGGGTCCTCAGAAAGCGCTAGTGAGGGTCCTCAGAGAGCACTAGTGAGGGTCCTCAGAGAGCACTAGTGAGGGTCCTCAGGGGACACTAGTGTGGGTCCTCAGAGAGCGCTAGTGAGGGTCCTCAGAGAGCACTAGTGAGGGTCCTCAGAGAGCACTAGTGAGGGTCCTCAGAGAGCACTAGTGAGGGTCCTCAGGGGACACTAGTGTGGGTCCTCAGAGAGCACTAGTGTGGGTCCTCAGAGAGCGCTAGTGAGGGTCCTCAGAGAGCACTAGTGAGGGTCCTCAGGGGACACTAGTGTGGGTCCTCAGAGAGCACTAGTGAGGGTCCTCAGAGAGCACTAGTGAGGGTCCTCAGAGAGCACTAGTGAGGGTCCTCAGGGGACACTAGTGTGGGTCCTCAGAGAGCACTAGTGTGGGTCCTCAGAGAGCGCTAGTGAGGGTCCTCAGAGAGCACTAGTGAGGGTCCTCAGGGGACACTAGTGTGGGTCCTCAGAGAGCACTAGTGAGGGTCCTCAGAGAGCACTAGTGAGGGTCCTCAGGGGACACTAGTGTGGGTCCTCAGAGAGCACTAGTGAGGGTCCTCAGAGAGCACTAGTGTGGGGCCTCAAGGGACACTATTGTAGGTCCTCGAACTCCATTATTTCGAAGAATTAAATGGGATAATTCAAGAACATACAGAAAGTTCCTTTTTTCTTCTTCTAGACATTTAGAACCGAATCAATAAGGTAATTATTGTTGATGATAATAAGGAGATTAAACAAATTATTTGGAAGGCATCGTTTATTGATTTCAAGCGAGAAGACAATGTATGCGATTCAACAATTGCACAGAATCACTTAGTTTGCCTCGTTATCTGAAGAAACCAATAGAGAAGACAGAAGTCATCAGCAGAGTTCATGGGAGTAGCCAGCAGGTCAGTTCATCACGGACTTAACTGATCTCAACCAAGGCAGCAAGGGCACCGCTGAAGGCGGCGTTGTAGTCGAGACCAACCTCGTTCTGCTCATACAGCGTCCGGTCGTCGAAGTAGTCTCCGTTCTGCAGTTGAAAGAGAACGGGGCGTAAGCCAAATATGTATCGATGAAGTCCCATAGTTTACTGGCAGCAAAAGTTAGGTAATCTTTTAACGTGGCGAGAAGTTACTTTAGAGAGGAAAGGCTTGAGTTAAGACTGTGACCATGGAATAAGATGTTAATATACAAACTGTTATTTCAAAGATAGGGCATGCATGGGCTTGAGCTGCTGGCCTTCGTGACACGAAGAGCCGGAGGTCGGTGCTTAGGGCACAGTTGAAAGCAAGGAACTTGGGGTAGAGTCGTAGGACGAATTTCATGATTTTATTATGAAGGACGCCAACCAGTAACAATGGGAATACTAAAACAGTCTGGAACTTGAAGTTCTATCAGCTAGTATACGCTAGTACTAGCAAGTTTACGCTAGTACTAGCAAGTACACGCTAGTACTAGCAAGTACATGCTAGTACTAGCGAGTACACGCTAGTACTAGCGAGTACACGCTAGAACTAGCGAGTACAGGCCAATACTAGGGGTGAAGCAAGGGAATGGAGGAGCAATTTCTCATTCAAAAGCTTAAAGAACTGTGAAATATTATAACTGAGTCAGTTAAGTGGCCATAGCAAGAAGCTTCACTTAAGTTTACTCGTATCTTAATGTACCCCAATGACCAGAGCCGGGGTTTATCAAACATTTACGGAACCGTTAAAGAAACCTATACATCTTTCCTCAATCATAGCGGCTTTGTTTACATTTAATAAATGGTTTATGAGTACCGGAGTACTTGGAGGTTGTTTATAACAACAACACCCTTGAGTTGTGAAGTTTCGAAGTTGCAAGCTGTTGAATAAATGTAAACAAAAAAGCTACCATGATGGAGGAAAGATGCACAGGTTTCGTAAGTGGTTGCCTAGATAACCAAATGTGACTGACCGCTGCAGGACCGCCGACTAGGCCGCCGTACAGGACGTGGGGGTTGGGACCCGTCTGGGAGTACGCCCACCCGTAATCGCACACCTCCGGGGGATCCGGACACGAGCTGAGGAAGACAGACACACACATAAGATCTCACATAACACCTGTCTCATGTTTGGAAGCGTCTGTGTTCATACTTACGCTCGTTATGAGTTCATATATCAGCGTGTCTGCAACAGAACTTGCCTGTGTGTGCGAGTGAGTGTTTGTATAGGCCTTACCTAGCGCGGTGGTGGGGCCTCTGAGGGTAAATAGGACCGAAGCCAACGACAAAGGATGTATGGTAGCGGGAGTTGGCGCCCAGCAGCTGGTTCATCTGTTCTCTGGCCCACTGGCGGTTTACATCGGCATCAACACCGTATTTGGCAGCCTATACAAAAAAGTAAAACAAAATTAAGGGGAAGAACAGCCTCAAACTGTTCTCTAGAACAGTTTTACATCCCCCCAGAATAAATATCTTTCAATACCTTTCTAGCACTGGGGAATTACCGAAGTTCATTGGAAGTTGATTGAACAGTTGAAGGGAGCCGGTCGGCCGAGCGGACAGCACGCGGGACTTGTGATCCTGTGGTCTTGGGTTCGATCCCAGGCGCCGGCGAGAAACAATGGGCAGAGTTTCTTTCACCCTATGCCCCTGTTACCTAGCAGTAAAATAGGTACCTGGGTGTTAGTCAGCTGTCACGGGCTGCTTCCTGGGGGTGGAGGCCTGGTCGAGGACCGGGCCGCGGGGACACTAAAAAGCCCCGAAATCATCTCAAGATAACCTCAAGATAACATCTAACATCACTGGACTTGTGCACTTGACCTGGGGCGCTTCCACCAGAAGGAAGCACATAACTGGAATTTTGCAATTTACTGGGTTAAGGGATTCAGCAAGTAGTTGGTAGTGGCTTGTTGTGTGGCCACGCGTGGGCTGTTTGAAGCAACCCTAGGCTACTGGTGAGGCAAGAAGGCACCCCCAGAGCTGATTAACACAGCTGATTTCCTTCAGACTCTCCTCCTCTACTTTAACATTAGGGTACATGTGAATGGATTCTCACTGATCCCACACACACAGGATCACTGCTTGAACGCAAAGGTTCCCAATGGATGAACTAATTTCTTATTCTCCATTCCATAAAGTTAATCCTTTCTTCTCTCACCCATACTCTCATTAACTTATCTTCCTATCTTTCCTCTATCCCCCATTCTCTCACCTACACATACACCCTCAACTCCGTGTTGCCACGTCTTGTCTACACACCTGGAAGTTAAACCACAGGTCTGCACTCCCATCCTCTCCTGGCAAAGCCGTTTTATACAAACTTTCATTCTATCACATTTACATAACATATTCTACACAATTTAAAATAGAACGTCTAGTTACATATCTTGAGTTATATTAAATATTTTGCAAGATGGCCAAATGAAGCAGGACTTTTGATTATATCCTGAGCGGTTCAACAGTGAAATAATTAGAACTATATTTATATAGTTTAATGCTTTTGTTGCCACCGTGACGGGGAAGAGGAAGCGACTGACCCAGAGGTGGAGGAAGGCCACGTTAGCGGCGTGTCTGTTGGGGCCCCACTCGTCAAGGAAGACCAGGCCCTCTGGGGTGTAAGGGGCTGTGTACTTCAGATAGTTGAAGTAGGTGTTGAGGTGGTCCAGGTAGGTCTGGGAGCCGTCCAGCTGCCAGAAGAGTGCCTGTCGAGATCAAAGTGTTAGTGATGTCCGATTGTCTTGATAAGAGAGTGACCCAATGTTGGGTTCCCAATTGTCAGTGGCAGAAAGTCTGTCCACACGGGACCGCTGTGCTACTGGAGCCCAAGTGTTTTGGTGAGTGTGAGTCACTCATTGTTCCCAGACTAAGTGTCTTGATGAGTGTGAGTGAGTCTTGCCTGTGGAGGCTAGAGAGAATACTGGTTGAAATGTTTCAACTCCTAGTCTAGAACACCAAACGGTTTATATTTCATCACAATATACAATATATGTACTAACTTTGTTATGAATTATACCTTCAATGAGTTCATACAGTTATCATCTATCTCATGAGAATCTATCGCCCCAGACATGTCCCCAATAATACCTTTGCTTTCAAAGATGATGTAAATAATGAAAAATATCCTTCCCCCCCAAAAAAAAAAAGAACATCAAGACTTACATAGACTCCGGCCTTCTTATCGTCCCAGGAGAACTGGTAGGCCGCGGAGTACTGGAAATTAAACTCGGCCCAATGGCCCCTAGCCCGTGTGAGGTAGTTGTTATCGCCCGTAGCCTTGAACATCCACAGACCAGCCCAGACCAGCTCGTCTCCGTAGCCACTCCAAGAGCTGAGGAGAAACAGCTACTTAAGAGTGAGTATGGTACCGGAATGAGTGTGGTGTGGTACTGGTGTTTCTACCCTTTCCTCCCCCACCCCTTTCCCTCCCACCGGTGCCCACTTCTTCCCCCAGATACGTACCGGTACCAGTCGTAGGCGTCAGGAATGGACACGTCGTAGGTCTGTCGGAATTTGTCGGCGAACTCGTATAATTCCCTGGCCAAGGTGAGCAGCTGATTAGCGTAGGCCGAGTCCACGTCCTGGTGAGTGCAGGAGAGAGGAGAGTGGTGAGAACATGACACAAGAACGATCAACAGGACAAGACACTAGACGAAACTGCAAGAAGGAACACCAGCGAAGGCTACCAGAAAAGGACATTAGTAAAGAACAACATGAAGGAACACCAAGAAGTAATTACGGGATGAAATAACGGGAAGGAACGACACGCAGCAACAATGGGAAGGCACAACAGAAAGGGACAACTAGAATGACAATGGGAAGGAACGACAGGAAGGGACGACAGGAAGGGACGACAGGAAGGGACGACAGGAAGGGACGACAGGAAGGGACGACAGGAAGGGACGACAGGAAGGGACGACAGGAAGGAACGACAGGAAGGAACGACAGGTAGGGACGACAGGAAGGGACGACAGGAAGGAACAACAGGAAGGGACGACATGAAGGGACGACAGGAAGGGACGACAGGAAGGGACGACAGGAAGGGACGACAGGAAGGGACTGCAATAAGGACAAGTGAAGACCAAGGTAACCCTCACCTTGAAGACCAAGGAGGCGGCGGCGTAGGAGGCAGCAACCTCAGCAGCCAGGTCAGTGCCTGAGGACGGGAAGAACACCTCTAATTAACATCTCTCAGCTCACAAATCATCCTCAAATTACAAAGAGCTACGAAGCATAACAATGAAATTAAAACAACAACAAACTATTAGATCTAAACTAAGCTGTTTGTTACAGAAAGCTTATGGTCGCTTGAACAATACATGACGCTGATTTAAAAACAAAAAACTGCTATACTTATCGATTTTATTGTAGGAAGAAAGAAGGTTAGAGTAGGGGGAAGTTCTAGGGATATTAAACAGGGGGATATGAGAGGATCTGTCTAACCTGGGTTCTGTTCGTCGATCTTGTAGGAAGGTCGCTCCATGGTCATGTACTCCGGGGCGCCCCACAGAGCGTGGTCAATGTGACCATTCCCGACCTGAAAAGTTAACGCAGATATTCTATATATATGCTTGGCGGGGACCAATCGAGCCACTGTATCTCTGGGGGGGTGAGAGAAGCTGTTATTTGCCAGAGGGTTTTGGATAACACAAATTTCTAGACCACTGACCTAGCGGACAATGTTGTTTGTTACAAGTCTTTGTTATTTACTAATAATTAGAATTGACTTTGGCAATAAGTTGACAAAAAATAGAAGACATTATCAGTTTCACAGTAATAATTAAACATATTACTCGCTAACCACATTACTGCAGCGTACTAACTACGTGAAGGTACTCACTAACCACAGTACTATCACTGCCTAACCACTCGCCACTCACAGAGTGCCACCACTCACCTGGCCATAGTACTCGTCGTAGTTTGTGTGACACTTGATGGAGTAGTCTGTAGCCCACTTGATCGTTGCCCTCAAGTACTCAGCCTGGCCTGTGTGCGTGGGGGGCAAGAGTGGCATGAGTATTATGAGTGATGGCTGAGTAAATGATTCAGTGAGAAAGACCTTTGCCTCATTCACTCACTGACAATGACTCATATTTGTTCTAACTCTCCTGCTTTCTGCTCCATTTTTATCACATATGAATTCAAAAATTTATTGGCATCATAGTCTACTTATATTTCAGTACAATGACAAAGAGGCACATAAAATATTCATTCGCTAGGAGTATTTCGCAGTAGTTAACAGGAAGGCATTTTGTAATGTATCTTATGACAATGGTAGTGACTGGAAGCATGCAGGGATCTCGCTAATTGCACTTCTAACCATGATCTCGCTAATTGCACTTCTAACCATGATCTCGCTAATTGCACTTCTAACCCACGCTCAGTTGTACGAGAAGTTGAAGGAGAGGATAAGTAATAGAATCAGGGGAGAAGAAGGGAATAATACAGGAGGCAAAGAGAAAACAATGCACAACAATATATTGTGCGGTCACCTACGGGTGGTGATAGGCAACAAGAACCTGATGTGTCAAGCGAGCTACCAACAAGAACCTGGTGTGTCAAGCGAGCTACAAACAAGTACCTGGTGTGTCAAGCGAGCTACCAAGAAGAACCTGGTGTGTCAAGCGAGCTACCAACAAGAACCTGGTGTGTCAAGCGAGCTACCAACAAGTACCTGGTGTGTCAAGCGAGCTACCAACAAGTACCTGGTGTGTCAAGCGAGCTACCAACAAGAACCTGGTGTGTCAAGCGAGCTACCAACAAGTACCTGGTGTGTCAAGCGAGCTACCAACAAGAACCTGGTGTGTCAAGCGAGCTACCAACAAGTACCTGGTGTGTCAAGCGAGCTACCAACAAGAACCTGGTGTGTCAAGCGAGCTACCAACAAGTACCTGGTGTGTCAAGCGAGCTACCAACAAGAACCTGATGTGTCAAGCGAGCTACCAACAAGTACCTGGTGTGTCAAGCGAGCTACCAACAAGAACCTGGTGTGTCAAGCGAGCTACCAACAAGAACCTGGTGTATCAAGCGAGCTACCAACAAGAACCTGGTGTGTCAAGCGAGCTACCAACAAGTACCCACTGTGTTACCAACATCAGAAGCAGAACAAGCTGGAGATAGAGAGTGGAGGGAAGTAACTTACCCGCTCTATTGTAGCCATTTGTGAACTCGAGGTAGCCCCAGGACAACATGGTGACGGTGAAGGCCGCCGGGAAGCCGAACTTGACCAGGTCGCCGGCTGTGGGAGGAGGAAACGCCACTGTTAAATCAAGACCGGGGTTTAATGGCACTAAACCTTTCTCTTCTTCCTATTCTTATCTTTCATCTTATTCTTACCTTTTACTTGTTCCTCACTCTCTTACCTTATTTGCCTGTCCCTTCCTCTCTTTTGCCCCGATCCTGTGCTGATTAAGCCCACTACGGGCTCACCAAAGCCCGTGCTACTTGGAACTTTTTGTTCCGAGTGGCTGAATCTAAAAAAAAAAATATTCTCTCTTCTATCACCCGGCTTGATAATGGTTCAAGGGGGGACCGAAACGTCGTCGTTTCTACATTTTCTGACGTGGTTTGTTTATCTTATGATATCCCCAACAGAACACTGGAAGCCAAGACCTTTATATCCCACATCAGCCCATTAGATGACTGGTCGTAGAAATTGATATATTTTAGCAAATCGAATCGAATAATTGATTCATAATTGGTAGTGCATTTATAATTGGGAAGGTTTAGATAATTAAGTACCTAAGAGAGTCACAATAACAACATAGCACGGAGACATTGTCTCCATTATCAAAATCAGGAAAATAGGCTCGTTTCCTTGCCCGAGATTTAAGCAACTGTTGTGTGCTGTATTCTGATTAAGGTAAGTTATTGGTGTAGAGAACGACTGGATAAGTCTAACAGGCTTTCTATTCCCGACAATGGGGACAGATATGGTCGGGGGGTCTTGAGCTTGAGTTCACTTGGACTTGACTTGGATTTGACTTGAACTTGGACTTGACTTGAACTTTAGTTCATTTGGACTTGACTTGAAATCACGAGTATCTATTTGGTGATGGAGTATGTTTCAGTTGCGAGTCAACCGAGGCGTGAATGATCGCTGGTGAGTGATATTCTTTTGAATGGCTCAGCCTGCTGAGCTGTTGATGGCTGAGCGCCTTGTGTTGTGGAGACCAACATCTAATTGCCTATCGGCCTTATACATAACAAAGTCCACCGACATCTCACTGGTGTTGAAGGCTTTGATGTTCTGTTAGGTCCAGCAAGAACAGGTCAAAATTAGATAAGAATTTTCTTTTTATGGGTCTATATACCTTGTTCGGAAATCAGATAAAAGATGTTTCAGGCCATCTGGGAGAATGTAGCATACTCAAGATGGGAGTAAACTTATGCTTCATATATAATTTTGCAACCCCTACTGTCGAGAAAGTATGAGATGTGCCTCTGGCCAGTTTCTTGGCTGCATTACCTACATTGTTTAACACATGTCTATTCATGGTCTCTCTCTCTCTCTCTCTCTCTCTCTCTCTCTCTCTCTCTCTCTCTCTCTCTCTCTCTCTCTCTCTCTCTCTCTCTCTCTCTCTCTCTCTCTCTCTCTCTCTCTCTCTCTCTCTCTCTCTCTCTCTCTCTCTCTCTCTCTCTCTCTCTCTCTCTCTCTCTCTCTCTCTCTCTCTCTCTCTCTCTCTCTCTCTCACTCTCTCTCTCTCTCTCTCTCTCTCTCTCTCTCTCTCTCTCTCTCTCTCTCTCTCTCTCTCTCTCTCTCTCTCTGTCACTCTCTCTCTCTCTTACCGTCATAGTAGCCACCAACAAGGTCGTGGCCCACATCAGAGCCGTCATTCAGGGCTGAGTCGCCGCGCCAAGGGACGCGGTTATTTGATGGCAGAGGACCCGACCGCTGCGCCTCGTAGAACACGAACGACATGCACAGTGCCTGAGGGGAGGGAGAAGATGGAGGTACAGTAGCTGAGGAGAGTAAGGAGGTAGAGGTCAGAGTTGAGGGGGTATAAGGAGGTAGAGGTCTGAGTTGAGGGGTATAAGGAGGTAGAGGTCTGAGTTGAGGAGGCAAGCAGCAAAGAGGCAAGGCATGAAGTGTGGGATGATATGATACACCAGCGCGTGCCGGAGCGGGGAATAAGATTGGACACATTAACATGAACGTCTCAAAGTATGGATGACTCTGAGGAACGTCCTCAGCACAGAGAAATCTAGATGGATGTCTATTCCTTGTTTAATATACCTTACGAGGTGTTCACACACCCTACGAGGTGTTCACACACCCTACAAGGTGTTGACACACCCTACGAGGTGTTGACACACCATACGAGGTGTTCACACACCCTACAAGGTGTTGACACACCATACGAGGTGTTGACACACCCTACAAGGTGTTGACACACCCTACGAGGTGTTCACACACCCTACGAGGTGTTGACACACCCTACGAGGTGTTCACACACCCTACGAGGGGTTGACACACCCTACGAGGTGTTGACACACCCTACGAGGTGTTCACACACCCTACGAGGTGTTCACACACCCTACGAGGTGTTGACACACCCTACGAGGTGTTCACACACCCTACGAGGTGTGTGATAGTCCCATTCAAGCAGATGCATGACTGATGATCTTGTGTGCAAAAATTTATTCTTAAAACCAAATCGAATACCTTCCGATTATCTTATTTCAACTCTACTACAATATGATTCTATGATTTAACAAACCACCCTCGACAGGGAAACTAAAATAATTTAATTACCACTCTATAAAAATCGTTAACGAATGACTGACCAAAGTGAGTGTCCCGTAAATACTTTGACAATGAACATTATCATTTTTAAATTATGTTTTTAATTATAGATGGTTTCATATAACTAAATATAGTAACTGGGAACTCCAATTGGGCTTAAGAGTCACACAAGTGTCATGTGTCAGGGAGTGACACTCACCTGGCTGTAGTCATAGGGTGTCATGCCGGTCGCAGCACATGGGTTTGTGTCAGCTACGACCTCTGTGGATACGGAGAAAATTAGTAAGGAGGTGGTGGGAAGGTTGTGAAGAGGTTGTAAGGAGGTGGTGGGAAGGTTGTGAAGAGGTTGTAAGGAGGTGGTGGGAAGGTTGTGAAGAGGTTGTAAGGAGGTGGTGGGAAGGTTGTGAAGAGGTTGTAAGGAGGTGGTAGGAAGGTTGTGACCAATAGTGTTAAGAAGTGATAATGTCTGAATTATCTAACCTTAACCATGTTAATTACTCTAGGAACAACATATAGGGACCAGAAACAATACTCACGGACTAGAAACAACATTCACAAACCAGTAGCAATATTCACGGAGCAGTAGCAACATTCACGGACCAGTAGCAACATTCACGGACCAGTAGCAACATTCACGGTCCAGTAGCAACATTCACGGACCAGTAGCAACATTCACGGTCCAGTAGCAACATTCACGGACCAGTAGCAACAGCCGTAACGGTGATTATGACAACTAGACTCATGAAGGATAAACAATCCACGCTTATTTATTGATGTATTTTATGTAAAGATTGGAATTACAGCAAGTCTTTTGTATTCTTCACATTGCATTATTAGGGGTCTGAGTATATGGTTTGGACGAGACTTGGTATTAGTCGTTGTGATGTAAGTCTTATCCAAACTATATACTCAGACCTCGATAATACACTCAGGAGAGTGCAAAAGACTGATGTAATTCAAAATCTTTACATAAAATACATAAGTTTTTTTGTCCTATGTTACTGTGTGATAAGACATTATCATTAAGAATTATAAAGTTATTTAAGTGTTTTTTTATTATTTTTGTGTTGGACTATCTTGAAAGCTGGCTTACACAGTCTTCTTTTTGAAGTTACAATAATTGGTAATCAAACACTTGAGTGTGAGAGTTGGAGTGCGTACCTGTGGAGAGGAGGGCGAGGGCCCCCAGCAGGCAGGTCTTCACCAGGACGCTGGCAGCCATGATGGTGGTGGTCTGTGGTGCTCCTCGTTCTCACCTTCCCTCTTATATACCACACACACACACATACACACACACACACGCCTCTCACATGTGGTCCTGTTCCACCTGGTGTTCCCTGTGTGTGTGTGCGCGTGTGCGAGTGCGTGTATGTATGTGCGTTTGGAGGGGGTGTGTACGGTAATGACTTGAAAGATGTAACCAATTTGTTTACATCATGCTTGAAGACGGTGTGAGTTAATGAGAGAGTCAAGGCTGAGGGAGACTGCCAGAATATCTATAGTTTATACAAGCGTCAGGGATGGTCTTCTCTTCGCTTCAAAGAACACCTCTTGATTCGTCACAACGTACAAAATACAAAGGGCTAACCTAACTTGAAACGTACCAACCCGAGCCACCCTCCAAACCTAAATTGTCGCATCATTCTAATTTTGTGATTTTATATACATACATACATATATATATATATACATACATACATACATATATATATATATATATATATATATATATATATATATATATATATATATATATATATATAATATAAAATACACATTGTGTCTTTACAATATATCTTTCAAATTCTTAGCTAAATATCATTCACTTTATACCTGAAATGTATTTTATTTATTTAGATTGCAATGCATCTATTTAGTCCAGCCAGTATTGAAGTGGTTTATGAAAATTTGTTTCCAATTAAGATTGTGATGCTGATAATTACAACATTTAGGTGCTATATGCTGTTATTGTGACTCTCTTATGTACGTATTGTACTGTACTTGAGTATGTAAACTTTCCCAATTATAAATGTACTAACATTTATGAATAACATTTTGTAACTGATTGATTTGATTTTTGTGAGCCGCTTGTTGTCATAGTACTCTGTAATTTAAACGTTGGGGACCATAACTTACACAATTAAACGCATTTCATGAGAGGACGGATTGTTAATAACTAGTTTTACCTTGAAAATGTAATAGTAATGAGAAGAGAAGCAGAAACAAGAAGACCCAAGGAACACTGTGATGGAGGCAGAGAACTCACCACAAGAGGAGACAGACCCGGGCTCAACTCTGATCTCCTGAAACTGGATGTGAGAGGCAGAAGTGCAGTGGGAGTGCAAAACTGGCAAATGTTCCGAAAGCCCTCATAAACCTTGGTAAGGATGATTATACGACGAAGCCCACTCTGCTATATGTAAACCCAGAATGTGGGTTTACATATAGCCTCTCTCAACAAAGATGATATGCAACAAGTCATAATGAACTGGGTCTCACCACACTGGACTGCTCGGAGACAAGGTAGACTGTGATAAAAGACAATATTCCATAATAAATCAATAAAGAGGACACCGATAGACCCCTCATGATTCTAGCCACAAACATCGAGAAGAATTTTTCAGCAGTACAAGAGCCGTAAGCAGATGAAACTGGGGGCGGGCTACATGTGAATATTGTGGAAGCAAACGCTAGAGCCTGCAAGCACCTCTGCAGTAGGTGAGTTCACACACCTTTGCTTGCACTGTAATGTCAACAGCAGGCAGAGTGCATGTGCAGGGGAAGGCAGCATCTGGACAACATTAGTATCTCACAAAATATAACTTTTAAGACCGAAGTGACGCACGAATCTAAGATACGGAAGTTTGTTTACAAGTATTATCTGCTTAGTGAAGGTCATGTTGCCCTTGGGGGGATGGACTTGGTGATTGGTGTTAGACTGAGCGTTGGGCGTCGGACTTGGTGATTGGTGTTAGACTGAGCGTTGGGCCTCTGACTTGGTGATTGGTGTTAGACTGAGCGTTGGGCGTCGGACTTGGTGATTGGTGTTAGACTGAGCGTTGGGCGTCGGACTTGGTGATTGGTGTTAGACTGAGCGTTGGGCGTCGGACTTGGTGATTGGTGTTGGACCGGACATTGAAGTATGTGATAAAATAATCTAAGAGCCCCCTTCTTTCACTTCCTTTCTATCCTTCCTTTTATTGAAGAGAGTTCCAATTAGACAAGTCAAGATTATGGCCAACGTGTTGTTTTTGGCTCACTCTTGAGCGTTAAGGTTCCTTTAATTCATCATAACAGCCAACAGGCTGACGAAGGCTATCATTATTCAAACCTTACGTAAACTTGGTGCAAGGACGATGGGACCAACCGTTAGCATGACCAATGGAATGATCTGATATCCTCATCGGAATGACATGGAACTCGCCATTGAAATATGCTGTCATCAACTATGTGTAAGGGAGCACGGATCACTGGGATGAGCTCCATAGGAATTATATATCATGGCCTATCCGGATGATCCGGCATGAACCATCCGGATGATCCGGCATGAACCATCCGGATGATCCAGCATGAACCATCCGGATGATCCGGCATAGACCAGTCCACCTCACCAACAGACCCAGTTGAAACTAAGGAAGTCAGTGTAACCTGTAACAGGCTTGCTATAGCCCGCGCTACATGGACATTTTGTTCCGAGTAGCTGAATCTCAAACATCAACTAAGAGACATTATAAATTGCGAGCAGCGCCTCTCTCTGCTCTGACGAGATCACACACTCAAGGGTCCTTGGCATATATAAACATTGGTGTTATTTATTAGTTGACGTTGTGCCAGATACAACATGCTGGGTCAAATAACTTGATGGCTTCAACAATATAAACTGGTAGAGCCATCTAGTCACCCATCTGTGACCGTCTGCACTCGAAAGGATCAAAGAAATTCACATTCCCCAAATCTTAATTTTATCAGTGTGTCTTTGAAAGAAATAGGTATTGAAAAAATGCATTAAATACATATTCATAACAAGATAATATCTAATTTTGCTTGTAGTCATCGTAACTCTTACCTGTTCATACTGTTTGATAAAGTTCGTTTTTATGAATTAGTGAGAGCAAGACGGTCCCAGCCAGGTGCAGGGGGCTGGGAACGCCGTCACCTGTATCAGATACGGTACGTAATGTATAACCAGTTGTCATTAATGCATGTAACTAAGAGAAAAGAAAACTACGTGCGTATGTACTTGATATCTTGTGAAGGCACGTGTATTTGCCAATCAGTATACTTAGCTAGTAGTGACCACTGGGGAGTGAGGTGGCGCTTCTGATGTCCCACCTGCTACTCTTGATTTACTTGTTACTGTATAATTTAACTATTCTGGCTTTCGAATTCTTCGTCGAATCTGGCCTTAACGCGAATGGAGGTGGCTTCCACGCCTTCTACTTTCAGCGTATTCCATTTGTTGACCACTCGTACAGAGGTACGAGTATTTCCTTACAATACTTCGAGTCATTTACGTTTCCGGCTTCCACGTCTGTCGTCTGGATTTCCTTTCTCTCAATTTAAGAAGGCATTCTCGTCCACTTTATCTTTTCTCCTAAGAAATGTGTCTGCTGGGATTATATCCTTTCTGTTTCTTTTCTCTTCTACGGTTGTGAGCTCCAGTGTCCAAATAGCTTAACCCTCTTAGTTCTGGTACTAATCTTGCTGTAAACCCCTGTATTTTTTTCAATTTTGGTCGAATGCTTCACAGGGTGCGGATTCCTGGCTGGTGCTGTATATTCCAGTATTGGTTAAGCAAAAGTTGTGTAGATTGCCTTAAGAGAGTCCTGATTTAAGTTTTTAAATGACGTTCTAATGTTTACCAGCGTCCCGTATGCTTCCAATGTTACTCTGTTTATGTGTGTTATGATGTTGTTAGATGTTAGTGTTAGAATTATACCTTCTCCCAAACTGTGTCATCTTTCTGATTCCTGTTGGGGAATAGACAGGGCAGACGCAGATAGACTAATTACCATGGGTAGTACACGAACAAGGGGATATAGATGGAAACTAAGTACCTAAATGAGCCACAGAGATAGTAGAAAGAAATTATCAGTTCCAGAGTAGTGAACATTTATAACATCTGTACCTATAAGTAATATATTGGAGGCAGACTACATACAAAGCTTTAAATGTAGATATGAAAAAGTTCAATAGGCTCTGGAACCTTTATACTAGATGATTAAGGGTTGAGAGGCGGGATACAAGAACCACAGAGTACTTACGGCAGATTAAGATTATTTTAACATAGCCTAGCACTGTTCTCTGATACATATTTTCTGTTAGTCACACGTCATCATAGAAAACAAATCTAAATCGTAAACTTTGGTAAAATAAAAAAAGAAAACTCGTCCCTATCACACATAAAACAACTCGGGATTTTTGGACTTCTGGTTCAACTTTTACGCCGAGCGGACGTCTGGACGCTTCCTCTACCTGGGAGCCGCTGGAACACGTTTTGTTTTGCGATTTAGTGTTGATACTACTGTTTGACATCCCTCTTCGACAGTCCGGTTGTACGACGCCTGGCGCACATATCGTCTTGGGTCACGGGATTGTTGATATATTTTTTGTTAACGTGTTCTGGCTGGTTTTCCCGGCGGGGTGACGGTGTCCGGCGCCGGCTTGGTCTAGAGGTGCCTGGGGTTGGTGAGTCTTGGTGGGCTCCTGGTGTGCCCTCAGGTGTGGTGGACGGCTGGCTTCAGCTCCGTCGGAGGGCTCTGGATGACATTAGCGTTTTAGCTGGGGGCCGAGTTTTTGGTTTTGCTACCCAGTGTTCTCTGTGTGGGGCGGGGCCAGTGCTTGTCACCCTGGGGGACTCCTGGTGCTCCCAGTGTTCTCTGTGTGGGGCGGGGCCAGTGCTTGTCACCCTGAGGGACTCCAGGGGCTCCCAGTGTTCTCTGTGTGGGGCGGGGCCGGTGCTTGTCACCCTGGGGGACTCCTGGTGCTCCCAGTGTTCTCTGTGTGGGGCGGGGCCGGTGCTTGTCACCCTGGGGGACTCCTGGTGCTCCCAGTGTTCTCTGTGTGGGGCGGGGCCGGTGCTTGTCACCCTGAGGAACTCCTGGGGCTCCCCAATCATCTGCCTGTCTGGGTTTCTTTGCCGCAAGGCATATTAGTTTGCAGTGATTGGCGTCACTCGTTTCGCGATTAGGCTTGGTGTTTCACCTTTCTGGGCTTCGCGATTAACCCTTTACGAGTACGCCGGGGCGCATCCGATTCCACGA